CGTGTGCGTGTGCGTGTGCGTGTGCGTGTGCGTGTGCGTGTGCGTGTGCGTGTGCGTGGTGCGTGTGCGTGTGCGTGGTGTGTGTGTGTGTGTGTGTGTGTGTGTGTGTGTGTGTGTGTGTGTGTGTGTGTGTGTGTGTGTGTGTGTGTGTGTGTGTGTGTGTGTGTGTGTGTGTGTGTGTGTGTGTGTGTGTGTGTGTGTGTGTGTGTGTGTGTGTGTGTGTGTGTGTGTGTGTGTGTGTGTGTGTGTGTGTGTGTGTGTGTGTGTGTGTGTGTGTGTGTGTGTGTGTGTGTGTGTGTGTGTGTGTGTGTGTGTGTGTGTGTGTGTGTTTGTGTGTGTGTGTTTGTGTGTGTGTGTGTGTCTGTGTGTGTGTGTGTGCGCGGGTGTGTGTGTGTGTGTGTTTGTGTGTGTGTGGGTGTGCGTGTGCGTGTGCGTGTGCGTGTGCGTGCGCGTGTGCGTGCGCGTGGGCGTGTGTGTGTGTGTGTGTGGTGTGTGTGTGTGTGCGTGTGTGGGGGTGTGGGTGTGGGTGTGGGTGTGCGTCTGCGTCTACGTCTGCGTCTGCGTCTGCGTCTGCGTCTGCGTCTGCGTCTGCGTCGAAGATGCACCAGTTGGGCACGTGTCAACAGCCATCGCATTGATTAAACATGAACATACAGCTCCCCTTTGCAAGTTGTGGGTGTCCAAGGAATGCAAGGGGCTTCGGCGGCGTTCAAAGGGGCTTCGTATGAAATCCTTCAACTGTTGTGATTGAAACGTGGAACGGGCCCGATTTATGAATCGCTTCGGCTTTCGAGTCTCTCCTTGAACCGTTGTCGGCGTGTTAGGGGCTACAAGAAATAACTAGACCACGGTTGGCCCGAAAGCAGAACATCGCAAGCGAGGTCGGCCCAACGCTGCAGGATGCGTTCTTTTTCCCTACACGAAGCATTCGTGAAGCAAGCGCGAGACAGCACCAGGCAAGGTGCTCTGTGCAACTGGTCTGTGCAAGTTGCTCTGCGCAAGTTGCTCTGCGCAAGTTGCTCTGCGCAAGTTGCTCTAGGCAAGGCGCTCTGCGCAAACTGGTCGGTGCAAGTTGGTCTGCGCAAGTTGCTCTGTGCAACTTGCTCTGCGCAAGTTGCTCTGCGCAAGTTGCTTTAAAATGCAAGTTGCATCTTGCGACGCCCGCCCGCGGACCAGGGAGGAATCGAACCCGCGACCCGCCGGTTCCGGGAGCAGGCGCGCGAACCACGAGACAACTCCCGAGGACCAGTTCGAACAACAAAAGTCGCAAAAAACCTCGAGTTTTTGCACCTCGACCACGCCGATTCCCGCAGAGGGTTGCGCGAGCACCGCAGAAATCGCAAAAAACCTCGAGTTTTTGCACCTCGACCACGCCGATCCCCGCAGAGGGTCGCGCGAGCACCGCAGAAATCGCAAAAAACCATGGGTTTTTGCACCTCGACCACGCCGATCCCCGCAGAGGGTCGCGCGAGCAGGTTAGAAATCGCAAAAAACCATGGGTTTTTGCACCTCGACCACGCCGATCCCCGCAGAGGGTCGATTTTCGTGTAGTGTCGTCGGCACTACCCCGCCGCCCTAAGAAGAGATTTTAACTCCTCGCAAGTCAATTGCACTTGACTCCTTGCACTTGCAACTTGCACTTGACTCCTTGCTTGTTTCAAGGAGTCATTGCAAGGAGTCATTGCAAGGAGTCATTGCAAGGAGTCATTGCAAGGAGTCATGCAAGGAGTCATTGCAAGGAGTCATTGCAAGGAGTCATTGCAAGGAGTCATTGCAAGGAGTCATGAGAGCCATTGCAAGTTGCAAGGAGCCAAGTGCATGGAGTCAAGTGCAAGTCGCAAGTGCACGGAGTTAAGTGCAAGTTGCAAGTGCAAGGGGCCAAGTGCAAGGAGCCAAGTGCAAGGAGCCAAGTGCAGGAGCAAGTGCAAGTGCAGTGGAGTCAAGTGCAAGTTGCAAGTGCAAGGAGTCAAGTGCAAGTTGCAAGTGCAAGGAGTCAAGTGCAAGTTGCAATCCTTGCCATGACTCCTTGCAATGACTTCCTTGCAATGACTCCTTGCAATGACTCCTTGCAATGACTCCTTGCAATGACTCCTTGCAATGACTCCTTGCAATGACTCCTTGCAATGACTCCTTGCAATGACTCCTTGCAATGAATGACTCCTTGCAATGACTCCTTGCAATGACTCCTTGCAATGACTCCTTGCAATGACTCCTTGCAATGACTCCTTGCAATGACTCCTTGCAATGACTTTCATGATGATGATTGACTTGCAATGACTCCTTGCAATGACTTTCATGATGCTGATTCCTTGCAATGACACCTTGTAATGACTCTCATGAGAACAACTCAAGTGAACCCAGCGGAAGAACCCTTCGCCATGCTTTCGGGAAAAAAACAAAAATGGGTGCCCTTTTTGAAGCTTTCTTGCTCCGCAACCATGGGGTTTTCTCAGCCTGATAGCAGGCGAGAGAAGGCCAGAGGCAGCCTGTCACAAAGTAGCGCAACATACCTATTTAGATCAGGTATTTGAAGTCGGCTGGGCCGACGGTAACCCTTGCGGAGGTACTGTAAATCCCCTGTTAACCTATTGAAGTGTCCGGGTATTTAAGCGGCGGCATCATATGGCTGGACCCATGTGGGAGTAAGAGTAGCTCAGCAGGTATGAATGGCTAGTTGCGACTGTCTAAAGATCTATGAGTGCCATTGCCATTCGGGACGTTGAATGCGGAACCATGGGATCCCGCCCCCTCCGGGTCCCCCCAATGGTTTTTCAACAGTAGGACTCTTCTTACAAAACAGCAAGAACATTATAGATGTTTAGTCTTTACTGACAGGCCCTATCGAACATCCAGCGTCCCTTGACAAGTTGGCAAGACAGGTACATCCCACACTTGGCGGACCCGAAAGGCGTTCTTGGCCGGCGGGTGTGTTGTTTTTGAGCGTACCTCTTTTTGGTGTTTTTTTTGTTAAGCAACGCCAAAAAGACAACCATATTGGGGGCTCCCCTCAAAAAATGACGCACCCCCGGCTTTTTCCCGTGTTTGTTTTTGTGGAGAACCCTCACGTTCACGTCGACGTCACGGTCCGCCGGGCATCTCAGCGCAAGCCTCCAATCCTCGAATTTACCGCAAGATCGAGGAAATGCTCGGCGCGGAGGGGGGGGGAGGTCGAGTGGTCGAGTGGGGGCGGGTTGAGTTGCAGTGAGGTTTGCCAATCCGTGTTTGCCTGGTGGAACATGAAGTACACGGCACTGTTTGGGGAATACTGTTGTTTTTTCTCCTGCAAATCACGCAGAAAAAGCACGAGCACCATCCGCTAATTCGGACTGAGATGAGTGGTTTTCAGTGTCCCGGGAGGTTTGTCGAGAGGGTTCTCAAATCATTCTATTCATTACTCTTAAGCGTGTCTCTTTTTGGTCTATGTGATGTGCCTTGCTGTGTGTGGTGCGTGTACGTGTGCGTGTGCGTGTGTGTGGTGTGTGAGCGTGTGTGTGTGTGTGTGTGTGTGTGTGTGTGTGTGTGTGTGTGTGTGTGTGTTTGGGTTTTTGGCGTTTATCCTATTCATTTCAAGCGGCCGGTTGCAAAGAACATGTTCTGTTGACATACTGATGGTTGGCAAGTTTCAGTCACCCTAGAAGATGGTTTGCTTGGCCTCCTGCAAGTCAGAGATGAGATTGATCGCCCATGCCCTTCATTTTGGAGAAAGTGCACAGGGTCATTTGGGCCTACGTGTTCCCTTGGCAAACAAAGAATCTCACTTCCTGAGTTCCTGGACTTTAAACTTTTTGGGCTGACAATGTTACTGGTAAATAACAGTTTGAACTGTGTTTGGCCACACTCCGGAAGTGAGGAATCGCGTCTTTCGAGTCAAGATGCATGACAGCCTTCCCACGTCATTCTGGGCTTGCTTTGCGAGATCTGGGAACCAGGCGGAACAGAGAAATTGTGTTGCAGGCAACTCTTTTTGCTTTTCCTAGGATTTTTCAAACGAGAATCAACAAGTCCCTGGCCAAGGCGAGATGACCAAGATGTTTTGGCTAAGAACACAAATTCTTAGGAAGCTGCAAGCTGGATGTGCTGCCAGACTTACCGTGGAGCTCTGGTCCCAGCCCTAGTTGCTCAGCACTTACTCTAGCAAAGCTTTCAGCGGAGAACCTTCGCGTTTGTTCGACAGGTTCTCAGTTCTCAGCAGAGCTGGTCTACCGTGGAACTTTAGGAGCTTGGGTTTATGGAGTTGCAGGCCATGGAGTTTTCCATTGAACCTTCCGAAAGTTAGGTTTTGCTTCAGGGGCAGTTTCACTCAGTCAAGATATTATTTCACGCAATTACGGCACAATATTGCCGGCACATATTTCTCGCTGGTGTTTTCTTGCTTCAGGTATGGGAATGCGTATCATTCGCGCAGATGTGCCTTTGTGTGAGTGTGGATACACACGTTGACATCTCCATTTTTCAGCCATCACTTAAGATAAGAGGTGTCCGATTGACCGACATCCAATGAGTTTCCCCTTCATTCTGCAGTCAGCTTGAAACCGCGCATTTTCTCTGGGGCACCTGGCTCGAGAAGCGACAAGCCAGAAGGCTCAAGTCAGGGCTGTGAGAATCATGGACCTCTCTTTCAGCTTCCCTTTTTCGTGGGCCTGTCAAATGCAATCCCCAAAAGCGTGAAACTTGGGTTGGCCAAATTTCTAAGCAGTCAAGAGGGCTTCCCAGAGACTTCGGGCAAAACTGGGAGGGCTTGCCAGGTGTATGGATGTCCCTGAAACTGAGGTTCAAGGCATCAGCTTGATGCTTTTCTCCTGCTCACACTCTCTAAACCGTTGGTTGGAAAGCTACATGAAGGGTGTGTCGGCCTGGAGGATACCCGTTTTCGGCTTGTTTGAACAGGGATAACACAAAGAAACACACTCTCATTGTGGGGGTACCCCCCCCGAGTTAGAGACAAGTCTATGCTGACCTGTTCCTACATGCCATGAAGTGAGTGATGCGCAAGTTTGCCAACATGTGATCGCTCTTCACGCGCCACCCTATGCAAGCTTCACATGCACGGACGTGTTGCTGGCCAGCCGTCAGGCAGGACACAGAGTTGCTTGCATACTCTTTGACTGTGCATACATCGCGAAACACACCGAAAAAGAGATGCGTGTTCGCAAGCACAAATACACACATGGAACCACACCCAGCGAGGAGCAACGCGAGTGCTGTATTGACACGAGTGGAGGTGTTTACTCCGTCAAAGGGAGGGGTTCCTCTGAATACCTTCGTTTGGCAAGGCCCGCCTTGGTGCTTCGAGATATTAAAATGTGCTAAAACCAGGGGGCACCCCGCATGCTTTTTCGAATTCGGCTGCCCTTCAAGCGCCACAAGGGCTTGCAGATTGGACCGGCTGGCTAGATATCTACCCATCTGAAGCGTTGAACGGGGCGCCGGTTTCTGCATCAACGGGAGTAACCGAAGGCTCCCGGTTGAGTCCTTGGACACAAGCCCGTTTGTGGGGGAAATAGAGGCTCCCGCTGCCTTACGCACCTGGGGTTGGTGGAAAAATGGGCCCCCAAAGTGGGTGGTTTCCACTGGGTGGGTTTTCAAACCAGCCGACTTTCTGCTCAGGGGGGGTTTATCAAACTGTTCAAAGCAAGAACACACATATGCAAACAGACAGAATGACACTCCCTGTGCCAGATGGCGGTTTCCCGCTACGGAAGAGCCGATTGGGATCAGGGATCTCCCCGATGTTCACCCCGTCGAGATGTAAGCCTAGGATTCTAGCAGCAACTTCCCCGTTCTTTTCAGCAAGCGATCCCAACTCCGCAGAAACATGGGAAGCTTTGAAAAGAGCTCTGGTTGAACCAAGAAACGGCCAGAAGTAGTGGGTGTCTTCCTGTTTCACAGGGAAAAAAACGAAAGCTGAATCCAGCTCGGTGCTCAGGTGCCCGGCAGCGCTGAGAGGAGACGTTGCGGTCGAAAGGCCACGGAGGACCCATGCCAGCCGGAGGCCGGCCATTTTAGCCTTCCATGTTCAACAGGCTGTGGCTCAAAAAGCCGGGTAACCCCAAAATGGGTTGCCCTGGTAAGTGGACACATGGACCAACACCTGCGGTTTGTCGCTCCTGTTTAGTGAAAGAGCCACAGCCCATCAAGGCGAAAGCAGCGGTGCTCCGAGCCTGAGATGAAACCGCGTTTGGGTAGAGCAATGATGCGGACTGTTCTTCTTGGGGCCGAATGGCTGCCCTTGCGGGCCTTCACCTTAGCACACCTGAACAACATGTCGTGCTTGTTGCCAGGGTCACTGTTCCAAACTGCCGCTGGTGGCATTGAGTGTGATTAGTTCGTGAGTGAGAGTGCAGCAAATCATGAACTATTGTGTACAGAATCATGTATGCATACATGTATCGCAATGTATGTGTTATACATACGGCATATATATATATATATCAATCATATATGTATATACATTGTACATATATATATATATACATTGTACATATATATCTATATATATATATATAGACATAGCCGTCTCCGACCCCTGGGACCCTGGGAGACGTCGTCGTCTCCGTGCTAATGTGCTCTGCTTTCTGCTCTGGTTTCACTCTTCGCATGTCCTGTAGAACGCTGTCTTGAGCCTTCCAAGGATCTGTTCTATGCCCAGCCAGTGCAACGGATTCTTCATCAACATTCTCATGGCATGATGATTTCACCCCACGCAATTCTTCTTTGGACCCCACCAACCATCCACGCTTTGCACGCCCGCCACAGTGCTTTTCTCGTGCTTTCCGGGCTGGCCCGTCAAGTGCTAGTGCACCGCCTTCTTGACAAGGCACTCCATTGCGGCAGCTGTCGGCAGAGTCTTTTCTGACTTTCCACTCCGTTTGGCTTGGCATCGTAGGCACCATCCACATCCATCGTCTTGTCCTTGATGTGTTTCTCGGCCATCTGCTTCCCACCACCCCTCCGCCCCCATGCAGCGATCCCTTGCTTTCGCTTGAATCCCTGTTTGGACCACTCTTGCATGTGCCATGCTGAAAAGGGTCTCTATACTTGCCGGTACTAGGAATGGTCATGCCCCTTCTCTGGGGATTTATCGCAACCATAAGGGAAGCATGACTTTGATGCGCAGGAGTTGTGATCGCGTGTGGGTTTCCATCGCCCGGTTCTCAAGGCGCTGGGGACATTTGCCATGGCTGGTCCCGGCTCGCGTCTCAGAGAGCTGTTGCGACTAGAAAGAAACAGAGGCCACTTGTATTGAGACTCATCCACGCTGGGCTGGTTCCGTGCGTGGTGCCAAGCCCTTCCTTGGAAAGCGGCTTGTAGGGACCCTAATGTTCATCAGACCTCGCTTGTCCAAAGTCGGATTTGAAGCCCTTTGTGTTCTGGGTTTCTGGGCCAACTTCTCTTAATCCCTCTAACAACTTATCTTCCCGGACTTTCCGTTTCTTTTTTTCCATCCAAGTAATCCATAGAAGCGCATGCCCAAAACGAGCAAATGGAACCCATGCTTGGCCTCTTGGAGTTCGCGAGACTGGGCCAAGGCCTTCGCCTGGCAGCTGAAGCGGAGGAGGCGTCGGGACTGCGTGGGCGGGTTCCCTGAGCCTCGACCAGGTTGTGGTTGGTTATCCCCCACTTCTGTAAGGGATCCCTTGGCTCATGTGTTTTGCTCTATGTTCTTTTGGTTGTGGTTGGTCAAGAAGGGGTTTATGCAACCACTGCGATACTTTTGGAAATCTCCCCCCTTTATATGGGGGTTAGTCTTTGGAAGGCCCTTTTCGTTGTATCACAGAAGTGGTCATGTCCCACAGCCCTGGTTGTTCGACTGTTATATGTTATCCATTTGCAGGAGGGGGAAGAGGGAGTCGACACATTTTACATTATATGTTATAGAAGTGGGCAACATATCAGATGTATGATGAAAACATATTTACATACACCAGATAAAGCAGGTTTGAAATTCCAGTGTTGGATGCATACTGTCACTGTGTCAATTTCAGTCTTGTAGGTGCAGGGTGCATGCTTAGATTTGAAAGGAACAAACCGGAGCCATATTTGTTCGGCGCCCATTTCTTCAATCACGTGTGAATCTAAGGAAAGTGTGTTCCCCAAACACCATGAGCGGGAAAGCCCTCCTCTACTATGCTCTTTAGGGGAACACGTGTAAGGCTCCAGCGGGCAGCCCCTTTGTCAGTTCGCGGACTCCTCCCCAGCATTAGCTTGCCCCAGGCTCAGCTGTGGTTTTTTGATAAGGGGTTGGCATAAATTGCCGAGTGATTTGCCGATACTTGCGGAGGGCAACCCCACAGAGAGTCTGAGGATGCACAACTAGTCAGACCTCGAATGACTAGTTTGTAGTCACAATAGCTTAGCTTTGGCAATGTGATATTGAATGTCTTTGATCTGAACACTCTCTACAACGTCAACCGGCCTGCCGTATTTGCTTTTCCCCGACTCCGCAAGACTTAGGACTTTTTCCAAAAGCACCTTCACAGCGCGAAGTGAATAGTCTCAGCCGGTTTTCAAAGCCCAAGACAGATCCATTCCCACCAAGCGTGTGTAGGGCAAGGGGCATTTTTCACGGACCCCGGCGCGTTTCCACGCCCTTGGGCATTTGAAGGGAAACCAGAAGGAAACTTGCCTTTTGGTGGGTCGTCCTATTTTGCCCTTTTTTCTTGTGGGAGGGGTGTCTCTTGGAAATCAAAACAGGGGCACCAGTTTTTCCTTCTCGCCCGGAAAATATTCTGGTCAAACCGCCCCTTGGGTGGGGATGGTAGATGGCTGGACAAGAGGCGTGCCTTTTTGGGGAGATGTCTTTGATTCTTTCCCTTCCAACCGGTTGATAGTCGGAAAGTTATCGGGACCAAAAGTTATCCTTGTAGATTTGCTGCCATCGTTTGGCAAAAACTGTTGAAAAGGCAAACCTAGTTCCCAAAAGCACCACTATTTTTCTCCAGAGAATTGACTTTGAAGCGGAAAACTGGATACCACCAGGTCTGCGTGTTGGCTTGCAGCCAGTGCGCATTCTGCGCAGCTAGACAGGATGGCGCCGAGTCGCCGTTTTTTTGCTTGTGGCTCGTTGAGGTGGTCCCTTTTCACACGATTCCCATGGTTTCCTTGCTCAGTTGTTCACTGCCCCACAAACAATGGTCTTCCCCAAAAAGGGTTCCTTTTTTTTCCAGGGTCACTGAATCACTGAGCTTGGGTGAAGCATACTGTGGAACCAGGATGGCTCTCATGATTTCCAGCCAGCAGTGATAATGAAAACCAATAGGTCAAAGCCAAAGTTCATAAATACATACTCCCTCGTATCATTCGAAGGCGAACGAACCGCAGGCTGAATGCAAAATGGACATCACCTGAAAAAGAAAGTGGACAGCAGATGTAAAGCAAGTGAGCGACGCCTGAAAGCAAACCATGGTGTAACGGAAAATTGCAGGACATAGTTGGAGCGCGCGAACAGCAGGGAACCAGAACTCAGTAACAACCCTGAAAAAGATTGAAAGGGTCACCTTTTTGGACAACCCACCCAGTGCGTCACAGCTTAGATTTGGTTTCTGCCTCCAAGCGTGGCACAGTTAGTGTGATGCGCTTGGACAATGTTCCAGAGGTTGTGTGCTGGTGTCCAAATCATGCCAAAATTTGAATTATCCTATGGGACACCAACGAGGGTGGGCCGTGTTTTTGTTTGACCCCCCATCTACCTGGCAGTGCACGTTGGTTTCTGAAAATGACTGTGTCCAGTGGTTCCCCTTCTGTTGTTGCCATTCCTTTTGGCAGTGTCCTTCGGTGCCCCCTTGTCCTCATGGGGGCAAAAAACACATCACAGTGACAGTGTGTGCATCGTTTTGGAGTGAGTTACGTATGACACAATTTGCGGAGGACTGAACGTGTCTTGGGCAACTGTTATTATATACCGCCTCATATATCTCAAGATATCCACAAATATGTGTCCTCGTTTGGCAGTTTTCGCAGTTTGCCATGTTGGCGATCATATTATACTTCCCAGCCTCTTGGCTTACTCCTTTTGGCATGGGTGCCTGAGGGACTTACTGACACTGACCCAGCGACCTTTTTAAGTGTCGACTCGTGTGTCTTTCCGCATTCACCCGGTTACCAAAAGCTGACCTTCTGACCATCTGGCTTCGCAGATTCGCTTCACTTGGCCCTCCTCTCAAATTGTGCAACATCGTCCAGGTGCTTGCCCTTGCCTGATCTTTTGGCGCAAACAGGTTTGGCCAAGCTGTTCCTTTCTGCTTAGCCTAGGAAAAAGGATGAAACGGCCGATGCACAAACGAGAGCAGCGACAGGGTCCTTTCATCTTTCATTTTCTCTTAACCAATTTCAGGTACTCTGCAGTTGGCAGTTTGGATTGGCTTGTGGATTCAATCCCAAATGTCTGTTGAGACCAACGAGGAAGGTGCCCAACGTCGAGCTACCTGGCCAAACCAAACGGTATCGCCGACCCTGGATGAATCAACTGGGCCTGTACGGATTACGCAAGATTGAAATTCCCGCATTTTGAAACACATTTCAGGTGAACCCCAGAGTGAACAAGCCATTTGAAAGTATTCATTTGAATCTGATCCACCATTTTAATCAACCCAATTTCCCCCTGCCCATTGTGCGTTACACAACAAACCTTAGCGGACCCTTATTTTGCTGGTGCTGAGTAGAGAATGGCCCAGGGTGTTGTTAATGAACCTAGGGATGCCCTTACACAAACCATAGGGGATATAGGGGTCACTTCCTCATTCCCTGCTGATACCCAGCAAGTCATGTTGGAATTCCATGTGCGTTGATCAAATGGTCCTTCACATATTATGGGGAAGACCAGTAAAATATGATCTGTACATATGACAAGTTTTCCATGGTCATTCGGCTGTGGCTCAAAAAAACGGTACCAATGGAACCCTGGTAAGTGGAAACATGGACCAACACCTGCAGTTTGCCCCTGTTGAATTTTGAGCCACACCCATTGGGGGCTGAAAAGAATATTGATCAACCCCCATCAAACGCCATTTGGGGGCTGAAGGGAATATTGATCAACCCCCCCCCCCCCCGGCTAAAACCGCCTTTCGAACACAAAGACGTCGCAAAGAATATTGATCAACCCCCCATCCAACGCCTTCAGAAGACAAAGACGTCCCACAGGACACAGGTCCCGTCGGGACCCGGATGCCGGCTCTGGGGCTGCCGCTGTACCACAGCTTGGCGCCCGCAGGCCCCGAGTGGTTCCCTCTCCGGGGCTTCCCTAATTGGCTTCCCAGTGCTGATGTGGCGATTTCCCGATTTTTTTGGGGGTTCTCTCATTTTGGGAAAACTTGGTTTTTCTGATTTGTAGGGTTTCGTGGGGGTGTCCGTGACACCTAGGGTTGATTCCCGATTCTCTTCCACGATCATGGTTTCAGAGACCAGTGCTTTTCTCTTGATTTTGCCCCATGTCTAAGCAAAAGAAGGCTTTCTGAGAGAATGACAGGTGAGTCTGTCTCAGAGGTATTGCGCCTGCGTGTTCCTGAAATTGGTCTGGTGCGGAGGCATGATCTGTGTCGCCCTTTTCAGGTCAGTTTGGTTGAATATAGATGTGTTTGAATCATTCGTCAGTGGCATCGATTTGTTCGAAAGGACATCTGCATAGGATTTACAGTACCTCTTGAAAAATGGCTATAGGCTAAAAGCGAAGCAGATACTAGCATGGCCCTAGTTTGTCGTGCCCAAGTCCATGAGACTTGTTTTTATGCATCCATTTGTATCGTGCATCAGCGTCAGAGTTGTTAGGGTCCCTTCCAAGTGTTGGGGGGGGGGAGAGGTAGTTACTTTGAGAATATCAAAATCGGCATATATCGAAACCAGGGAGCACAAAAATGCCTATTAACGCGCGCATATCCGCAAAGGGTCCGATTCGTTTTGACACAGACGGAAATTCTGAGCTGAATCAGGATTAGTTTGGCTGATGCTGAGTGGTTTTGTGTTGTTACAAGTACATATCTCGTGCCCTTGGGGACCAGTGGCTCAGGGCGAAAGGAAGTTGCTTTGGTCCAGACACTCCATGGGAATCCTGTGCATTTGGCGTGCATGCAGGCAATCAGAGTAGGCCATGGGTGCTTGGGTAAGTGTAATTGAGATCCTGAAGGCTTACTTGGGCAAGAAACAGATGGGGAAGGGGGGAAATTGCATCCAGTAATATCATCACCGTTGGTGGTTGCCTTGCGTACAGGGCATCCAGTTGGACTCTATCGTAGTCTAGCACCGTTGATTTGGGTTTATCTCTAAATGGGATATGAATCCCCCCAACACAAGCAGATGCACTTGTTTCTTCAGGACCTGCCTGCTGCGCAGCTTGGACTGAGACGAGATGCTCGGGTGGAATCACATTTTTTTTGTCGGGCAAGCAAGAATGATTTTCATTTGGAGGTGAGTGCACATGTTGTTTTGTCGGCGTTGAAGGATTTGTTTGAATTGCTCGCCCTTTTAGGTGGCACCTGTACCAAAGGGAAGGTCGCCCGTTGACCTACGAAAATTCAAGGCAGCCCTTATGTGGAGGTGCATAGAGGGTGTCCAACTTTGTTTCCCCAAGGCAAAAGGCAAACCCTTTTTTTTCGGAGCTTGTGAAGGTACATGTCCAGCCATCGAAGGGATGCGATTTTGGGTGGACCCTTCAGAAAAATCGGGTTTTGGTTCACAACTTAGCTCGAGCAGGGCCCTTGCTGTATTTAGAATAGCGCATGCCCCCTGAAATTTGTCCAAGGCTTCTCTTTGAAACTAACAGACCCAACAGGTGCTGCGAAAACATATGGACTGAAGCAGCGGTTTGTTACCCATGCTGAAGGTTCTGAAGTTTTATTGAGGTCTTTTTGTTCCTGGCTGTTAACTTGCGCGAGGTCCCGGGGAATAGTTTGCAGAAGCGTTCCAAGGGTTTCAGAAAAATAGCGCACACCACCACTCTTCCAGTGCCTCAAGCAGCTCAGATTACGTTTTTGCAACCAAAAAACACAAAGGTTTTCCCGGCAACCCCACACGCCAAGACTGCTTGGACCATGCCACAGCATGCCGTTTCAATGCTATCCGGGCCAATCAAGCCTTGTGCCAGCAAAACACACGCCAAACAAGGACTCCAAATCTCTGTCAAAACATGCGGACATACCTTAGCAAGCTTGTCTCGGGAAGCGCTGCTCCCGTTTGATCCGAGCAGTGTTCCGGAATAGGGTAATGCAAGTGACTACATCACGATGGCGCAGCCCTTTTCCTTGGGGAGTTGCAGTTTTCTGAGGATAATGCTCGCTTGTATGTTCGCCTTCAGGTTTCCAAAAATATGGATGAGTTTGGAATGTGCCCCAATTTTAGGCTTGCTTTTCTCCACGTCTTAGCATGAGCTTGGAGATGCCCCAAGCTCTCCAAACTCAAGCTCGCTTTCTCCTAACTCAGCCCTGAGAAATCAATTTGGGGGTCCCTAAAGTTGGCCTTTACTCAGCCTGAGTTTCGAGATTTGCCGAACTTAGTCTTGTCTATATTGACCAAACAAAACCCTTGTTTGACCCATTCAATTTCCATCGAAAAACGGACAGTCGCCACCAATACATTTGAAACGCGTCTTCGCACGCAAAGGCAGGCGAGTTTGCAAAACACGGGCCTGAGCGCGAAGATTATCCAAACTCAAGCCGACTTTGGAGAAAACAGCCCTGACTGAGTTTGGAGCAAGCTCGGGCCGAGTTTGGAGAAACGAGCTGAGTTTGGAGAATCTCCAAACGCAGGCCCCAGTTTGCAGAAAATGGGCCTGAGTTTGAAGAAGACTCGTCAGTCCTGGTTAGTCCAAACTCTTTGTACGAAGCCAAGAAGCTCTCCGAGTTTGGAAAATGGAGGAACAGGGCCCGAGGTTGGAGAACTTCTGAACTCAACCTGAGTTTGCAGAAAACAAGCCTGACTTTGAAGAATCCGCAAACTCAGCCCGAGTTTTGAGAAAACAGGCCCGAGTTCGGAGAATCTCCGAACTCACCCCGATTTTGGAGAAAACGGGCCTAAGTTTGGAGAATCTCCAAACTCACCCCGATTTTGGAGAAAACGGGCCCGAGTTCGGAGAATCTCCAAACTCACCCCGAGTTTGGAGAAAACGGGCCCGAGCTCGGAGAATCTCCAAACTCAGAGTTTGGACTCAGAGTTTGGAGAAAACGGGCCTAAGTTTGCAAACTCACCCCGAGTTTGGAGAAAACGGGCCCGAGTTCGGAGAATCTCCAAACTCAGGCCCGTTTTCTCCAAACTCATTTTGTGAAACACGCGAAGAAGCGTTCGGCAAGTGTTTTGGTGGAGAAAATAAGCGTTCGGATGGAGATTGTCAGGCAAAATAAGCGTTCTGCAGGAGAAAAACACATTGAAATTTGGAGTTTGGAGAATCTCCAAACTCAGCCCGAGGTTGGAGAAAACGGGCCCGAGTTTGGAGAATCCAAACTCAGGCCCGTTTTCTCCAAACTCGGGCCCGAGCTTGGAGAATCTCAAGTTGAATCTGCAAGCGCACCCGAGTTTGGAGGAAATGGGCGGGCGTTTGGAGCATCTCCAAACTGAGCTTGGAGAATCTCCGAACTGAGTTTGGAGAATCTCCGAACTGAGTTTGGAGAATCTCCGAACGCAGGCCTAAGTTTGGAGAAAATCTGTCTGAGATTGGGGAATTTCCAAACTCATCCCGAGTTTGGAGAAAACGGGCCTGAGTTTGGAGAATCTCCAAACTCGAGCCCTTTTTCTCCAAACTCGGGCCCGAGTTTGCCAAAATTCGATACCCAGTTCGAGTTTGGAGAATCTCCAACCTCAGGTCCGTTTTCTCCAACCTCGGGCGGTGCGCTTGGAGATTCTCGAAACTCGGGCCTGAGTTGTTGGAGAACACATGCCTCAGTTTAGAGAATCTGCAAAGTCATCCACGGTTTGGAGAAAACGGGCTGAGTTAGAGAAAAAAAAGCTGAATTTGGAGAAAAGGAGCCTGACTTTAAAGAGTGAACGCAGGCCCCAATGGGCCTGAGTTGGGGGAAAACGGGCCTGGGTTTGGCAACTCGGACCCGAATTTGGAAATCTTCAAACTCGAGCCTGAGTTTCCCCAAACTCAGGTTGAGTTGGGAGAAATTGGCTAGAGGCTAGAGTTTGGAGATTATGAGCCTGAGTTTGGAGTATCTCCAAACCCTCACTGAGTTTGGAGACAACGGGCCATAGTTCGGAGATTCTCCAAGTCCAATCGCAACAGCCCCCGAGTTTGGAGAAACTGTCGAAATTTGAAATTGGTTGGAACTTAGCGGACTCAGTTCGAAGAAAAAAAGGTGCGAGGAGTCGTGAGTCTTGACATGTTTGCTGCTGCCTCCTATCACCCATCTCGGTGATGAGATTGGAGACTGGGACTGTTTGCACCAAACGCGGCACACTCATGCCCCCCCTATTCTCAGAACTCTTCCAATTTACGGGGTCTCAACAAATGAACCGAGTTTCTTCATATGGCGCTACGGGTGCGCAGAAACTGACGTTAGCCCAACTTTGTTCAATTTCAACCCTGGGTTTGGAAAGTCGAGCTCGGTTCCCGACCTTGTTGCAAGGCCTTGTCACAGCAAGATGCGTTCCGGGCTTCCAACAACGGTTGTGAGTACAGGTTGCAGAAACGAAACGTGCTTGATCAAACTGGGGCATCACTTGGGGGCTGCTATTGCCCCAAGTGAGCCGCCGTTTTCATGCCCCAGTTTGATCGAGAGTGCTTCGTTCCTGCAACTTGCACTCACAGCCGTTTTGGAAAGCGTGGAACGCTTCTTGCTGTGGTTTGCAGAAAAGGCCTGAGCTCGTGCAAGTTAACATTCCTGGCTTTGGGGTTCCCCTAGTCGACATGAACCGTGGAAGCCAGTCCTTAGCGACCGTGCACGTGGCATCCTGAAGGGCGAGCCGGTTTGCTTTTAATGGAAAGCGGATTAGTTTGGCTACAAGCAGGAACAATGGGCGGCCCTGATGTTTTGATGTTTGTGGATGTTTGTGTGCATGCAAGTCTGAAAGCTATCGAATCACTGGGCCCTGGGCTGATTCTTGTTGATTGTTGTCGAGTATTTCTAGGGTTAAGCAACGTTAAAGGACTGGGTCCGTTCCCTCGATACTTTCACTTGGAGATCATGTGAAGTAGAGACCGGTTCCCAGCACAGCTCCCGTGACTCTCAGTTATGGTGCACTCCGTCAATCGGCGGGGCTACACGGGAGAAACTGCTCAGGCTCTCCTACACCTTAAGGATCAAGGTGAGAAGCGGAGTGTTGACGCTCAAGCGGAATTGCGAATTAGATGCTTCCAGGACTGCACTGTACTTGTTTGCGCTTCGAGTGTCAAGCAGGCAAGGCAGATCCTACGTCGGGAGGATGGTCATCCACTTTGCTTCCTGGGTGCTCTTGTGGTACCGCTCCACAAAGGAACGCACCATTTCCAGTGAAGGCAACAAAATCAGTGCTTCCCCTGCTAGGGCTCTAGTCCCACCACACGCTGAAACGCATTGGTCAAACGAAGGGAGCTCGCTCCCTGAGACTGTCATCGACGCATTGCCAATGCAGCTGCTGGTGACGCAGAGATTTGCCGCTCCCGAAGATCCTTCGTAGATTGTACCCTGCCTTTTGGCAGAAGAGGAACAAACCAACCCCGGATGCATGTGCTGGATGAATTGGGGTATGCTTCCTCAGAAGCGAAGAATCCCCTCTACAAGGTGATGCTCCGTCTATCATTCAATCAAAGGTTTATGAGTCTTGGGTCAACATTTCTCACAGGTGTATCCTTTGACCGTTTGGTTGCAACGTCAACTTGGTCTGCTTTGGTCCATAGAATCAGCTGGAGGCAGTTGGGCTTGTCTTATGCTTCCGTTTAATCCTCCATCTTGTTTTTCTTGTGTTCCCAGTGGCTGTTTCATTATTATGCTGGTGTTTCTTTGTTTCGTTTAGTGCTCGTATGGCCATGGGTCAAAACCCGTCCCAGCGAACATCCCAATCCCCACTAAAATAGGTTCTACAATGGGTGGTGATTTCACCGAACACCCCAAAATGGGATCCCATTGGTGTTGACCCACAGCCTTATTTGTTTTGTTGCTCTCTGCCTGGTTTCCGGTTTTTCCCCAGGAAGCAGCTGACTGCATGGTGGCGCCGCCGCAGCGGCCAGCAGTTGGACATCTACCAGGCCTGAGCTCTCAGGGTGTCTGTGTGTCTGTGTGTGTGTGTTTTGTGTGTGTGTGTGCGTTTTGTGTTTGTGTGCGATGTGTGTCTGTGTGTGTGTTGTTTTGTGTGAGTGTCTGCGTTGTGTGTTTGTGTGTCTGTGTGTCTGTGTGTGTCTTTGTCTGTGTGTCTGTGTTTGTGTGTGCGTGTTTTGTGTTTTGTTAGTGTAGTGCGTGTATGTTTGTTTTGCTTGTGTGTGTGTGTGTGTTTGTCTGTGTGTTTGAGTGTCTGTGTGCGTGTTTTGTGTATGATTTGTGTTTGTGTGTGTAGTGTGTGTGTGTGTGTCTGTTGTTTTTTGTGCGTGTGTGTGTGTGTGTGTGCGTGTGTCCGCGTGCGTGTGCGTGTTTGCGTCCGTGATTGTGTGTGTGTGTGCGTGTTTGTGTGTGTGTGTGTGTGCGTGCTTGCGCGTGTGCGTGTGCATGTGCGTGTGCGTGTGCGTGTGCGTGTGCGTGTGCGTGTGCGTGCGTGCGTGCGTGCGTGCGTGTGTGTGTGTGGGTGTGTGTGTGTGTGTTTGTCTGTGTGTCTGTGTGTCTCTGTGTCTGTGTGTCTGTGTGTCTGTGTGTCTCTGTGTCTGTGTGGCTGTGTGTGTGTTTGTGTGTTTGTGTGTGTGTGTGTGTGTGTTTGCGTGAGTTTGTGTGTGTGTGTTGTGTGTGTGTGTTTGTGTGTTTGTGTGTTTGTGTGTTTGTGTGTTTGTGTGTTTGTGTGTTTGTGTGTTTGTGTGTTTGTGTGTTTGTGTGTTTGTGTGTTTGTGTGTGTGCTTGTGTGTGTGCGTGTGCTTGTGTGTTTTTGTGTTTGTGTGTTTGTGTGTCTGTGTGTTTGTGTGTTTGTGTGTTTGTGTGTTTGTGTGTTTGTGTGTTTGTGTGTTTGGATGTTTGTGTGTTTGTGTGTTTGTGTGTTTGTGTGTTTGTGTGTTTGTCTGTTTGTCTGTTTGTCTGTTTGTCTGTTTGTCTGTTTGTCTGTGTGTCTGTCTGTCTATGTGTCTGTGTGTCTGTGTGTCTGTGTGTGTGTGTCCGTGTCCGTGTCCGTGTCCGTGTCCGTGTCCGTGTCTGTGTCTGTGTCTGTGTCTGTGACTTCGTCTGTGTCTGTGTCTGTGTCTGTTTTCTTGTCTGTGTCTGTGTTTGTGATTGCGTCTGTGTCTGTGTCTGTGTCTGTGTCTGTGTTTGTGTGTGTGTTTGTGTGTTTGTGTGTGTGTGCTTGTGTGTGCGTGTGTTTGTGTGTTTGTGTGTTTGTGTGTTTGTGTGTTTGTGTGTTTGTGTGTTTGTGTGTTTGTGTGTTTGTGTGTTTGTGTGTTTGTGTGTGTATGTGTGTGCGTGTGTGCGTGTGTGTGTGGGGGTGTTTGTTTGTGTGTGTGCTGGTTGGGCTTGATTAAATCAGTAATGAATTCTAGGAAAGCCGTTTTTGACATACACTCATGTGAGTCACAATCAAATCGCCAAAGCACGTTGGATGGCAATCCAGCCGCCAAAAACTCCAAGAACTCTATAACAGAGGTGTTCGCGCAGCTCAAGTGGGTCACAATCGAAACCTGGCACTCAAGGACACTAAAGGGGAAAAGGGGTGAGGCCACGGCTGGGACTGTCTTCATCTACCTAGGTTTTGATGCGGCTCATGTGATGCACCCCCAGTTCCATATTTCTCCTTGTCCTCAGTATATACTTAAAATGGGTGGCTACTGTACCTTTGGGTTCCTTCAAAAACGACCCAGTAAAAAATGCGTACCCGCATCACATGATGGCCACGGGGCTTCGTCGCGAACCTGTGTTTGCGCTTGGTCAATACTGATTCCTCAGCTCTGTGGGTTTTTTCAACATGATGGGACTCAGGGGTGCCAATGTTTGACAGGAGGAGCACCCGGACGGATACCGCACGCGTCGCTCGGCCGCATGCGAATGCAGATTGCCGTGGCAGTCTTCGCTCCTTGAACCTTTAACCTCCAACTTGGTGGTTGAATGTCCAGCAAAAAGTTAGATTCGTTTTTCACGCGCCCTTTGGCCACCCACAATTCACCGGCCAAATTTGCAGAAGCAGCCTTTGGAGCAACCCTGAATCAGAGTGTTTGCGGCTTAGACAATACATCTATGACGCCCACACGTCTCATGAAATCAGGAATGGGCCTTTGAGCTCAAGTCAGTGGGTCTTTGGGACAAGTGTCGACTGGGGCACACTGGCCCAAAAGGGAGTCGAGCTTTCAATTGTTACCTTTTTCAGGCCGCCTGAAAACCCATTCTGAGTTCAGCGGAATTTGCCACGGAACACGAGGCAGCAATTCGCGGGCAGCGAAGCTCGGGGATAACAAATCCGTGCTCGCAATCCAGGCGCGAAATTGGCCGTGGGTCCTTCGCGCGAGGGGCCCGTGATCGGCCTCTTCCAAAGAGGCCAGCGGTTTGAATCCCTTCCCCCTACGCTGTAAACAAAGTTGCCCCACAAAGCCGACAGATTCCTCCACCCCGAAGAACACATCCCCCCAAAGAAAGAGGAAAGGAAGACATGTTTTAGCACTAGGGAACCTTTGTTCAGAGGGGGAGATGATTTGTCAGGCACAGGAGCCCCTACAATGGGTATCGTCAAAAGCCTGATTACCTTTAGAACAGCCCAAAGTGTTCACTTTCACAAGCACACACCCAAATTCTGTACGTAAACCAGCCAGATTGCCAACTATTCGTAGCGAGGTTCTCGGGAAATTATTCGTCACCGCTTGAGTTTGCCACAGGATTGCTACAAGTATGATAAACCTTACGCATGATAAACATTACGCCCAAAAAGTGAAGAACATTCCTGAAAATGAGATATCTTCCAAATAAATCAACCAGGATTTAATTCATCCTGAGGTGCCGTCCTCGCCCAGCACAGTTCTTCGCAAGAGTAGCTAGGTTTCGTGAGCTCTGGGTTTAGTGCCCCGAGCGTACACCGGTTCATTGGGGCCTGGCACCGCACTTGCGCTGTGCAATGCGCACCTTGGCATGGAGCATGATCAATGTGCCATGTTCCAATGGGCGTCATCCCTAGGAGTTGAGTTATTGCCGACGATGGTGCCAGGTTGCTGTGCAGCACATCATGTAATTTGGATCCAAAACACTGATGCACCGCATGTAACCCGGCAAGAAGTAGATCCATGTCAAAAGCCGGGTGAAAACATGAACAGGCTCTGTTCGCGGCGGAAGCACCGTACTGACCATACTTCTGTTCCAGCAGAATCATGCAAGTCTGGTCTCTATGCCTCAAGCATACTAATTGTGAGGCTCGAACAATGCCACCGTTTCCGGCACCGTTTTCGAGCTTCCAACGACCTGGCCGGAGCATGTAACACGCTTTAGCAAGGTTTTGAAGGGCTTGCGCCGTACTTAATGTTTAAGGCGGACTAATAAGCCCCCCCCAGAAGGTCAAACCTCAGAGTAAGCCAGCTTCGGGGGGAGAAGGTGATTTGTGGGAGAAGGTAGTTGTAGGTGGCCGCTCTGCGGGATTGAGGACGCATCCGGATGTTAGATAGAGTTTAGCTGGACTGGAATTGAACTTAAATGACTTTTTGTGCGGCAAAATTGTTCTGCCAAACGCGCCGTGCTAATTCGGGGTGGTCCCGGAGGCCCGCATCAGAGTTTAGAAGCCTTAGAAATTGGTGGCATTTATTGATCCAACGTTAGCAGTATGTCCTAGAAATTTGGCAGACCTTGGCAATCGGGAAGTGCAAACCATAATTGGGTCATCCTTCGGCTGGAAGTGACAGGTTGAGATTGAAGAGCATATGCGCCATGGTTGATGTGGATATATGAGATTTGCTGGAAAAAAACACCCCGTCAACATTGAGTTTGAGTTGGAACCTTCTCGGGGATTCTCATTGAGACGCCTAGCTGACCATGGCTTTAAACAAATATAAATTGCATTGACTTGTTGTTCATGCATGTCAGGTGCTTCTGTGTACTCATGTTTAGACAGGTCCTTTGGTTCCAAGTATGAGGTGTCCCAAAAGGGGGGTCAGTGTTGGCCCTTTTGACGGTGTTTTTGTTCAGGGAAAGCAACCGGCGGCAATATTGTTCCATAGGGATCCCTGGAGGCACCTTCGATGTGGCGAGGCATGGCGGTTTTGGCTGGTGGCACTCACGGCAGTCGGTTTTGGTAACGCAGGTGTCATCTCCAAGCCGAAGCGAAAGTGAAGTTGGATCTTTAAAAAGATGCTTTACAGCTTTAAGGCAAGGACAATGAATATGGACTCTGGCCCATGATTCGCGTTTACAAGGAAGTATGATTATCAAGGAGCTTGTAACCCTAACGACCTACCAGCTCCAAACTATATGCCCCAGATACAGTTGGCACATTAGCACGGCTTCAACAGTTGGCACACTCGGGCGCGTCTTCACGGCAGCTTTGGAGTATGTTTTTCAAATTTCAGTGGGGTACCACCCAACAAGTGTCGAAATTTCTTTTGACGCCATGGACCCATTCACGTGGCTTGCTTCGTGTGCGTTGGTGCCTTTCTAACCTGTTTCCAAAGAACTTCATCATGTTGACAGCCAGAATTATGATCGATGGACGCGACGCCATTTTGGGGCGCACAGCCCCAATTTAACCAGGAGGCCCCATTTTTCCATGTCCATTTGAGAGAAGTGTGTCTAATATATTGCCTGGGCAAACACATCCCCATTTGGAAGGATTTGGAAGGGGCCGAGTGGTGTTGACAACCAAACTGGGTCAACCAAAGGGAGGTGGTTGGTGGTTTGGCCCATGTTTGCCAACCCTCCAAAATCTGGCTTACTTCAAGGTTCCTCATTAAATTACATCCGTGATTGCCATTCACCTTGTTTCCATTTTATCACAGGCTGGTACACTGAGGCAAGCCATAGCCAGCTCACAAGCGGTCTCTGCAACCTATGAAGAAGCTTCGTTTGGGCATAGGAATTTTCCATGGACAATGAGACTGGTGTCTCCCAAAAAGCGAAGCATAGTTTCCCCTTGGTTTCCCTTCGTGTTCCCTTGGTTTCCCCCTGGTTTCCCGTTCCTTTCCCCGTCCAGCACCCTCGCACTACTGCCCAAACGGCAGTAGATAGAAATTTCCCGAAAACGACCAGTGTTAAAAACTACTTTCATTTTGTTTTTGTTTTTTTTAAAATGTATTTCGGCGATGCCCATAGTCTAACCACTGCTAGCTACTGTTTACAACCGGGGGGATGCCATAGCAGGGTAGAGTTTCCCCTTCGTTTCCCCGTGGTTTCCCCTTCGTTTTCCCCGTGGTTTCCCCTTCGTTTTCCCGTGGTGTCCCCTTCGTTTTCCCGTGGTTTCCCCTTCGTTTCCCCGTCGTTTCCCCGTGGTTTCCCCTTGGTTTCCCCAGGTTTCTCCTGGACTCCCCTGTCTCCCTGTGGTTTCTCTGGTTTCCCTTTCATTTCCCTTTAGTTTCTGCATCTGGTTTCCCACCGGCACGAGATTGGCCAGGTGCTGCGGGTGCAGAGCCAATCATCCAGCCTTGGCACCTCGGTTTTGAAATTCCTGCAGGGCCGTTCCTTCTTTCTTTCTGGGGTAGACTTAGGATACATCTTACATTTTGCCAGTGACTCAAAGCGAAGCCAACAATAAAATATATATTCTATAACTAGGCCACTCGAACGAGCCTTCTTGTTGCCCAAGTCGCAGCTTTCCTCGAATTGGTATGGATTGGTGGTTTGGAGGTCAGGTGGTGGTTTCCCATTATTCCCATTTGTTTACCTTCTACGAGAATCAGCTCAAATCTCTTGATCACCAATTCAAACCACCAAGCAGAGATTACCTGCCCATCCAAATGGGCAGATCAAAAAGCAGGTTTGGGGTGGCCCGTTTAGCCCACAATAGGTTTGTGTGCGGAGGGAAGGCGAGGCAGATCCCACTCAGGGTGGGTGCGGTGCATGAGGGGTACTTCTCTTCTGTGATACCAAGGAATTGTCACGATTACTCATTGCGAAAGCCTTCGCTGGCAGCACAGAAAAAATAGGCACGCACACAAGCAGGTTTGCTCACTATAGGGTGAGTCTTAGACGTCGCCTTTTGACAATGCCATCTCAAAGGGTGTTTTGTTGGGGGGACATGTCAAAAAGAAAGAAGGGCACCTTGCACGACTTTGCAAAGATGGTGTGAAGATATGTTGATTGATCGATTTGTTGACTGATTGGTTTGATTTGTTCTGATTGATTGATTTGATTTGATTTGATTTGATTTGATTTGATTGATTGATTTGATTGATTGATTGATTCATTGATGTATTTACTTATTTATTTATTTATTTATTTATTTATTTATTGATTTATTGATTTATTGGTTTATTGATTTATTGATTTATTGATTGATTGTTTTATTGATTGATTGATTGATTGATTGATTGATTGATTGATTGTTTGATTGATTGATTGATTTGATTTGATTTGATTTGATTTGATTTGATTTGATTGGTTGGTTGGTTGCTTGATTGATTGGTTGGTTGGTTGGTTGGTTCATTGATTGATTGATTGATTTGATTGATTTGATTGATTGATTAATTGCTTGCTTGGTTGGTTGGTTGATTGGTTGGATTGGATTGGATTGGATTAGATTGGACTGGATTGATGGATGGATGGATGGATGGATCGATCGATCGATTTGATTCATTCATGCATTCGTGCGTTCATGCATTCATGCATTCATGCATTCATGATTCAATGCATTCATGCATTGATGCATTCATGCATTGATGCATTCATGCATGAATGCATTCATGCATTCATGCAGTCATGCATTCATGCAGTCATGCAGTCATTCATTCATTCATTCAGTCATTCATTAATTCATTCATTCATTCATTCATTCATTCATTCATTCATTCATTCATTCATTCATTCATTCATTCATTCATTCATTCATTCATTCATTCATTCATTCATTCATTCATTCATGCATTCATTTTTTCGATGACTCATTGATTCATTGATTCATCGATTCATCGATTTATCGATCGCTCGATCGATCGATCACTCGATCGATCGATTGATTGTCTGGCTGATTGATTGACTGATTGATTGGCGTGGATTGGGTTATATAGATTATGAGTCTATTTGATTGGATGTTGTTTGTTTGGGTCTTGTTTGATTGATTTGATGTGATGTATTTTGATTGCTTGCTTGCTTGATTGCTTGCTTGCTTGGTTGATTTGTTGGTTGGGTGATTGGTTGATAGATTGCTGGTTTGTTTGGTTGATTGGGTGAATGGGTTATTGGTTGGGCGATTGACTGATTGAGTTGATTGAAGTGGATTGAACTGATTGATTTGACTCATTTGATTGATAGACCGACTTGTCTTGATTGCTTGCTTGTTGATTAATTGGTTGGTTGGTTGACTCAGGTGTTCAAGAGCAACACTTGAAGTCCTTTGTCTGCAGACAAACAACGCGAGCCCTGCAGAGCACGGTGGGATGGAGTGAACAGCCATTTTCTGAACTGGATGCCGGGAGAAAATGGGTCTTGACTCAAAAAAGGCAGCAGCCACGAGAACAACCGGCGCCACCAGTGGATCCCGTTGCCCAATGGCCGAGGTGTTGTATCCTCCCTGGACCGCGTTACCAGTTAGCGATACAACAAGCCGTCCATCTGACTTCGTTTGGTGCTTTGACTGGGGCCCAGGCCTTCCCTTGGTCAGACTTCGGTTGTCAAGTTAAACGGAAGTTGTCCAGCCGCATTGGCATAGGTGATCGTTCTTCGTTCAGGGAAGACTCGCGCAAACGCAGGATGCCGCCCTCAAGGTCTTGGAGGATGTCCTTCGTGCACATCCACAGGCGCGGCTCGGCCGCCCGCCGCTTTCGGGTCTTCTTCAACCGAAGTGGCCGATGGCTTGGCCAATTCAAAGGAGCTGGCTGCTGGCTCAAAGTCCGTGAGTCGATCCTTTGTTTTGTTGTGACCCTTTCTGGCTGGTCATGCCCTCGGATTTGAACCAGCGCCACGCTCAGAAGCGTCCCTGGAGGGCTTCTACTTCCCAAGTGTCTTGATCCGACCTTGTGAGGGTCAGGGGCAGACAGATTCAATCGACTGCCGGCTGTGGAACACCATCAATGCCTGCGAACATGTCTTAAATGTTGCAAGTAGAAGCGATAACCCCTTGGTTGTACTTTGCAAGGGTTTTGTGTTTCCCTTTAATTTGGCGGAACCCAGCTTCCCTCAGGTCCCCGTATGTGTCCATGGCGCAGGGTTTGTTGCAGTTGCGGTCTATGTGTGATACTCCGGGGTCCTTGTTTGAAAGCACACCCAAGACGCTTCGCTTTCGTGAAGCACTACGTATGTGTTTATACATCTAGTTAAACATATGCATAGCCTGGCTGGATCCAATGACGACTTGTATTGCATAGTCATCACTGGATTTTGTTGGACATTTGGCATTGGAATTCAATAAGTTGCTGGAGTTGTAGACGTTGTTCCACTTAACTCAGACTTGCAATTGTGTCTTCTTTCATGATCAAACCTCCACACTTTGAAACATTCATGTGTTGTCGTTGTAAGGCAGGGGCTTCCCAGATCTTGTCCACTCTGGAGGTTTGGACGGCACACACACACACACACCCCGCAGGATGGAGCAGCCAGCATCAGCGATGTTCTTTTGAACCGTTTGTTTGGCCAAACATGGCCCCCCGTTCGTCCCCCTATTGCGACATACATACCCCCCAAACGACGACATCTATCATGGGGACGGACCCCCCAATGGCTGGCAAATAACCCCAAAACAGCCATGAGGTCATTCCACAGACTTGCCAGCCATTGGGTTGGGTGAACTATAACCACCGCAAGTTTCAGGCTGTGGCCAGTGCTTGGCGCAGGTCGAGGCCTTCCACCACGCGGAGTCCAGCGCCGAAAGTGCGGCGCTGCGGAACGTGGAGCTTACCGTGGAGCGGCCCACAGGCGAAAAGCGCAAACAAAAAAACGCGGAAGGAAGGGTGGCTGGGGGAAGGTTTGCGGTAAAAGGTCGTTCTGCAATCATAACAGTGCTTCAAAACTATTCTTGCACTGGATTATTTCTGCTTTTTGAACCCCCTTGCTGACATGCCCGCGTCTCATCACAGGAAGTCTGAAACAAGTTGTAGGCTTCAAGATCTCAAATCTCAAACACCAGGAACACAACATGGATTGAACACGAAGGCGAAGGGGTCTCAAAGGGTTGATGCGCTGAACAAACCTAGGGCCACAGCATGACATGTTGAACTGAACACGCCGCTTCTCACAGCGGAAAGCACTTTGTGCGGTGCTTGTAGAGCTAGCCACTTTGCAGTGGACAGCGCATCACGCAGTGCTGATGCTGAGGGCCAAACAGAGGCTGTTCCGGAAGAAGTTGCAGAGCAGCAGGTCACATTGAAAAAACCGCCTTTAAACCTGTTGAACCTGTTGGATACACTGCATTTAACCCAGCGCCCTTCCCCAAACCAGATTTCAGCATGGCCAGGAGCACAACGAAATCTCAACCGGCAGAGCTTTGAAGCACTTTTATGATTGCAGAAGGCCTTTTTACAACAACACGGTCTTGGCTCTGCTTATCAGATGGATGAAAACGAGTGGTTGCGAGTTGGAATCAGGGGTGTGAAGCCACCGTTGTTTGGAACAAGGGCACCCTTGAAGGGACAGTTTGATTCGATGTGTGAGTTTCATTCATTTTGTTGCAGAAAGGTAAGTTTGGCGAGTTGCGAGGTTGTGGCAGACAGTTGCTGAATGTTCCTGTTTGGTGGCCTTTTTTCACACTGCAGAACGGCCGCTGTTTCCAAGCTCCGAGTAGTTTGCAAAAAGCATCCAGCCCGGGTTGCGGGGTGGATATGGTTGTGCTTGCATGTTTCCATTCGTTGAGATCCTGAGGTCCACAGCTCTGAAACCCCGAGGCTTGGTGCAGCTGGTGCTGCTCTGGAACGGACGCCGCGGAGATGATGCACCTGAGCTGGCCGCTGGTCTCAGGGAGGTGTTCACCCGTTTTACCGTTTGGTTTGTTTCAATGCCCCCCTCACAAAAGATTTGTTTGGGGGGGCAGGGGGGGGGGGGGGATATTTATTAATAGGGTACACCTGAGGTACACCCCTTTCCGCGCCCAACCATGTAGTAAAAAGAAACAAATGAAGAGTTTAAGCGACGGAAATCTATGTAGTTTGTGCGGATGTGTGTTGATTTTTTGAGTGCGGTGGAAATTGGTATAGTTTCAGTCTTGTGTTGGTTTAGCATTAGTTTAGTATTTGCTAGAATTGGTTTACAATGTCCCAAAGCACGACTGGAGTTGAAATTTGCTGTTTTAGAATTGGTTGAGTCTTGTGACAGGTTTTATTGTGGGCCCCCATCACCTAGCCCCCGAAACCTGCAGGCAATGGATCAAAACGGTGGGATAACCTCCGGCACCCCCAGTCAAGTTCCGCCTGATTGCGGCGCGAACCGATTCCAAACGGAAAGGCATGGCTGAGTTGCCCCAAATTCAAATCAATGGAAGGCTGCTTCTTACTGCGCTAGCAAAAAAATAAATCTTTGCTGATGTCTTTAAAACAAAATTGCCTCAAGTCATAAGTCAGGCAACCAGGAGCAAGCAATGTGTTTGTGTTTGTTTGTTTTGGGGGGGGTCTTAGTTCTTGGCTGTGACCAGACTGTGAGGCTCCCGGTGGCTTTTCTTGAGAGGCAGGCATCGCCCTGATGGATCCTCACTTCTTTGCAAACCAAATTCCCTAGGTGGCGATGGCTTGAAGTAACGCGTGTTTCTCACATGTGGCGACCAGGGTTCACATTTCCGGAAATGGTGCAAGGTGCTGACTCTCGGTTTTGATGCAGGTGTTTTGCCCATGCTGAAGCCTCGCTTTGGTTGGATGTGCACAGCACAGCCCGGAATTGATCGGGTTCTTGCAATATTGCTCCCCTTTGAATGGAACCCAAAGGGGTCCGGGATCCCCCCAGATAGTGGCCTCGTGGGTTTCCCCCAAATGGGGAAGTCCGTGAAAAACAGTATTAGGAGATACAAATCCTTCCAAAAAAGGTCTTGTTGGATGCTTAGGGTGGTATATATATATATATATCGTACTGGAACATCAACATGTTGCAATCACGTAAGTGGAACCCTGATGCGGATTAAACCCAAAGTTGCTCGTCACACAGCCCGAAACATACCCAATAGTCAGGGTCTCAGCGGCTTCTGATTCACAATGCTAATGCTGTTGTGTGGGAAAGTTTGCCCCATGACTTCGGGAAGTGTTGTGAAGCCGTGCAGCCGTACAGCAAACACGTGTAGACTAGGGCGCTTTCGGGGAAACACTCGCCAAGGTTATAGAGCAGATGCCCCATTGAGTGTAGCAGAGGTCCCTCTACCGCGGGCAGACCCTTTGGGCACCGCTTGGTTTGCTTGGCATCATTTCAAGCGTTTTGCAATCCATGCAGCTCCATTTGCCAGGTTGAAGAACGTTTTCCAAGTGCACCAATTCCGTCCCCGTCTCACAGTGGACGCTTGATTGAGGTTGTTGCGCTGAGATTCACTTTCAGTTTGGCTTGCCTTCGTGTTTGATTTGTCCTTCCAAAGAGCGCGCTCGGCAGCCCTGTTTAGTCGAGAGTCTGGTCTTTTGTTTGAACACGTCTCTACAGCACTCCCAAGCCGGCAAATATAAGGATTGGTGACAATGACCAAGTTGAGTTGACCATGTATCAGTCGTCCTGGGCTGGATTGGATCATCCTGGGCTTGAAGATTGGACACCGCAGCTTTGAATTGTGCTGGTTTGTACATCTGTTGGTCGTGTTTGCCGAGGGCACCTTGGTAGACAGCCTTTGGCCTGCTGGCTCGCAAAGTGACCGATGCACGAGGCTCAGTGCGATCCTCAAGTGGCCTGTACTCCCTGCATACCCAGTTGAGCTTTGATATTTCCGAGCAACTCTGTGTGATACACAAGGTTGGCTCCAAACCAGCTCTGAGGCTGCTTGATCTACCAGTAGAGCCGGCGAAGCCGGTGGGCGGAAGTTTCAAAAATATAAAAAACTATAGTTCTCTTTCTCTTTCTTTTCTTGACTCTTTTTCTCCGTCAGTCTTCCTTTCTTCCTTTCTTTCCTTCCTTCCTCCCTTCTTTCCTTCTTTCTATCTGTCTTTTCTTTCTTTCTTTTGTTTGCTTGTCTATCTATCTTTCTCTACCTATCTGTACCTAACTACCTGTCTATCTATCTCTCGTGTTATCTATCTATCTGCTTATATCCCTCTATCTCTGTCTCTCTCTTTCTCTGTCTGTCTATCTCTCTATCTCTCTATCTCTCTTTCTTTCAATATTTCTATCTCTCTATCTCTCTTTCTTTCTATCTATCTATCTATCTATCCATCTATCTCTCCATCTATCTCCCGCGTATCTATCTATCTATCTATACATCTATCTATCTATCTATCTATCTATCTATCTATCTATCTATCTATCGATCTGTCTATCTATCTATCTATCTATCTATCTCTCTATCTGTCTCTCTGTCTGTCTATCTCTGTATCTATCTATCTCTATATCTCTCTCTGTCTACCTATCTATCTATCTCTCTCTCTCTATCTGTCTATCTCTATCTCTCTCTATCTATCTGTCTATCTCTATCTCTCTCTATCTATCTATCTATCTATCTATCTATCTATCTATCTATCTATCTATCTATCTATATATCTGTCTATCTATCTATCTATCTATCTATCTATCTATCTCATTATCTCACGTGTATTTATCCATCTCTCTATATCTCTATCTATCTATCTATATTTCTATTTATCTATAGATCTACCTATCTATCCATCTCTCTATCTACCTCTCTATCTCATTCTCTCTACCTATCTATCTATCTATCTATCTATCTATCTATCTATCTATCTATCTATCTATCTATCTACCTCTCTATCTAGTTATCTATCTATCTATCTATCTATCTATTTATTTCTCTATCTATCTACCTATCTATGTATCTCTCTCTATCTCTGTTTCTATCTATTTATCTATCTCTCTATCTATCTATCTATCTGTCTATCTATCTATCTGTCTGTTTATCGTTTATCTATCTATGCATTTATCTCTCTAATCTATATATCTATCTATCTATCTATCTATCTATCTATCTATCTATCTAATCTAATCTAATCTAATCTAATCTATCTATCTATCTATCTAATCTAATCTAATCTAATCTAATCTAATCTAATCTAATCTAATCTAATCTAATCTAATCTATCTATCTATCTATCTATCTATCTATCTATCTATCTATCTATCTATCTATCTATCTATCTATCTATCTATCTATCTATCTATCTATCTATCTATCTATCTATCTATCTATCTATCTATCTATCTATCTATCTATCTATCTATCTATCTATCTATCTATCTATCTATCTATCTATCTATCTATCTATCTATCTATCTATCTATCTATCTATCTATCTATCTATCTATCTATCTATCTATCTATCTATCTATCTATCTATCTATCTATCTATCTATCTATCTATCTATCTATCTATCTATCTATCTATCTATCTATCTATCTATCTATCTATCTATCTATCTATCTATCTATCTATCTATCTATCTATCTATCTATCTAATCTATCTAATCTGTCTATCTATCTATCTATCTATCTATCTATCTATCTATCTATCTCTCTCTCTCTCTCTCTGTCTCTATCTCTCTCTCTCTCTCTATCTATCTATCTCTCTCTCTATCTATCTATCTATCTCTCTATCTCTTTATCTCTCTCTCTCTCTGTCTATTTATCTATCTATCTTGCTCTCTCTCTCTCTCTCTATCTATGTATCTATCTAGCTCTTTCTCTATCTCTTTCTATCTTGACTTCGCGTACTACTTTCGTACTTAAAAGTTGCGATTTTCAAGCCCCAGCTGCGAAAGTGGACTTCACGTACTACTTTCGTACTTAAAAGTTGCGATTTTCAAGCCCCAGCTGCGAAAGTGGACTTCACGTACTACTTTCGTACTTAAAAGTTGCGATTTTCGAGCCCCAGCTGCGAAAGTGGACTTCGCGTACTACTTTCGTACTTAAAGGTTGCGATTTTCAAGCCCGGCTGCGAAAGTGGACTTCGCGCACTATCGTACTTAAAAGTTGCGATTTTCGAGCCCCGGCTGCGAAAGTTCGCACTTAAAAGTTGCGTTTTTTGGAGCCCCGGCTGCGAAAGTTGACCTTGCAAAAGTGCTGCGCCTGCCATGAAACCTGTACTTGACCTTGCGAAAGTGCTGCGTCTGCCACGAAATCTGTACTTGACCTTGCGAAAGTGATGCGCCTGCCACGAATTTTGCACTTGACCTTGCGAAAGTGCTGCACCTGCCACGAATTCTGTACTTGACCTTGCGAAAGTGATGCGCCTGCCACGAATTTTGCACTTGACCTTGCGAAAGTGCTGCACCTGCCACGAAATATGTACATGACCTTGTGAAAGTGCTGCGCCTGCCACGAAATATGTACTTGACCTTGCGAAAGTGCTGCGCCTGCCACGAAATCTTTACTTGACCTTGCGAAAGTGCCGCACCTGCCACGAGATATGTACTTGACCTTGCGAAAGTGCTGCGCCTGCCACGAAATCTGCACCTGAGCGTTCGAAAGTGTTGCGCCTGCCACGCAATTCAAACCTTGAGAAAAGTTGACCTTGCGAAAGTGCTGCGCCTGCCACAAAATCTGCACCCGACCTCACCAAAATGCTGCGCCTGCCACGCAATTCAAACCTTGCGAAACCTCTGCGTTGCCGTGCCAATGGTCCCGGCGCCGCCCCCGTCCCGAGACCGTCCCGAGCCCGTCCCGCACCCGTCGTCCGTCAGACGCCGCGACTGAGGTAGCTTTCAGCCAGCTCCACACCACCAAACCCGCAGAGGGTTGCTCCTTTTCGCAAATTCTATTCCCCCGCCACACGCACATGCATGTTTTCTCTCGCGCTCCTTTCATTCTTTCTTCTTCCTTCCCTGCACCATCTAGCTTTCAATTAGTTTCCGTAACTCGGAAGTTTCCTTCTAAACTTCCGTTGGCCAAAACATCGTAACATGCTATTGTTGGTTTGAACAGCACATGAAGTGGGTCGCCCAATTTAGACCAGATGTTGGACTGTCCAGGATTTGCGCAAAGCCGAGATACAAAACATAGCTGATTCAACCAATGAATTATCTGGAACTTGTGTGACTGACTGGGGGAAGACAACTCATGGATTATTATATACATGATTGGCTCCCTACCACAGTGAAAATTGTAGTTGGGCCAATGTTTTGGCATGACAAAGGCCCTACGTGAATTTGGCGGAACCCGCAAAATGGGTGATTTTCCCTTCAGGTTTTCCCTGTCAAACTAGGTACCCTCAGAAGGACATCCAAATGAAGGCCAACTGAAGCTCCTGGTATTTGTGCCCGAAAGAGATTTGATTAGAGAATGCCAATCGCCTGACCCTTGCCGTTTTCAACATGATCCTTGCTCCCAGATTGGGTTTCTGTTGGAGTGGCCGGACATGGACAGCAACACGTCGTGACAATACACGGTGGCGAGACCCCAGAGAAGGCTCTACTCTACGCTGAGTGAGGACTTTAATGAGCGCCATCGTCTAGTTAGCTTTGCAGAACCAACAGGTAAAACGCGACTTGCAACATGGGTGTTGCTCATTTGGAGGTCCGAAGTAGGGACCCTTCAGCTATTCTGTTTTGGCAGGAGACTAGCAAGTAGCCACGTCGAAGGCACTGATTTTGCGATATCCGGCAGGAATCTAGTGGATTTTTGAGCAGTACCCCCTCTCCGGTCCCTTTGGAGATTTCTCCGTTGGTTTGTTGGGAAGTTTGAGCAAACGAGCGAACGACGATGCCATGAGCCAATCTGGGGTGCATCCTATTGAATAATTATTGAGGCAGACCCCGTATTATTGCCCTCCTTTTCAAGGCGTGGAGCTTCCAATCTGCAGCGGTATACAGCCAGGTCCCCCAGTAGTGCCCTTTTTAACCCCCTTTTTCGGGGGAGGGTTCCTCTGCTGAAATAGACTACAGAAAAAAATCGGGCACCCTTATTCTAACCTCTCTACTGGAGGACCTCCCATCTTGGTTGCCTTTGAAACGACCCCCCCCTGCAATTGTTTTTTTTTTTTGGGGGGGGGTTTAGTGGAAAACCCAACTTCCTAATATAGGTGAAACAAGCAAAGAGAGCCATCGGCAAGGGCACTCCATCCTGGTCCACTGGCGAGATCCTGATCCTAGCCTCCTCCGGGAGCTCCGATTCGTCGCATCGGAGCTTCGCCGAAAGTCAAGGCAGTTGGTTCAGCGTTGAGCCATAAGAATGGCCCAAATACCAAATTTAGAGGATCCAGCTTGTTTTTTGCAGGTTGTGGGATGTGTCGTATGGGAACCCGGTAAGAAAAAACTGGAATTTGACCGCCACCTTCTGAATGTGTCCCTAGTTTGTGCAAGGAACGAAGGAACGGTACACGAACCAATTATGATTAGAGCACAATGAGTCCAAGGTCCCAACTATGTACCCCTGAGTAGATGCCCCTGCAAAATACCGTAGAAGCTTAAACACACTATGGGTGCATACATGGTATATAGCCATCTTTTCCAGTGGGATGCCAGGGGTACCTGCCCAGGGGCACGTGGTTTGGCCCCCAGAATGAGAATGGACCCATTCAGCTCAGATGTCGACATCTTCTGACCTTCTGAATTGAGTTTTCTTGATTCGCAACCAGAGCTTAGAATCGGTTGCGGTTGTGTTGCGTGCCTTCCTCGGAATTTCAAGCAGTGATGCATGCTAAGCCCGCAAAGGTTGGCCTTTGATTTCCGACTGTAGTTTTCTACAATGGTTGCACCACTTGAGACATGTGATGTATCAAGCAAAACCCCAGATGTTTTAAAAAGCTGCGAGAGCAATGGTCCTGGTGCACTTCCATATGGCCATTGGTCAAACGCCCGTATTTTCAGTGAACATCCGATTCAATCCCCACTAAAGTAGGTTCCAAAATAGGTGGTGCACCGAAAACCCCCCCAAAATAGGATCCCAAAACGGTTTTGACAACCACAACCATATCTGACATGAACCTGTTTGGAGTCTGTGCCCTCGCTGCGCTTTCATAGGCTTTGGGCTGGATGTTGGGAAGGCTTTGGGCCGGCAGTGGATCGTCCAAGCCCTTCTGTCCAACGAATTGTTAACACCTGATCCGTCCTCAAGTTTCAGGTGCTCCGCTGCAAATTGACATGCAAATTGACATGGAACTCAAAAATGACGTGCCACAACAAAGAGCGTCCTTGAATGCTTTTTATTTGGAGGCTTCATTTTAATTTTCAGGGGTGTAGACCCAAGGAAGGTGACTCCCTTACTTCATATATTCACTGGTAGGATTCTACCTATCCGTCCAGCATAGCCTTTGGAGCACACTGGATTTTTTTTTCAAGACGGAGTCCCAGTTAGACACGCCCAGTTGGCCCAAGCACCTCTTTAAACTGAAGGCAGTCATTTTTTGAATCATTATTCCTCAGGTTTTCCCTTGAAGGGGTTCGTGGGGCTAGTTGTTTGGGCCAATGTTTCGCTCAATCCCTGGAGAAGAACCACCAGATGTCGGACAAGAGCAAACCAGAAGCGTTATCAAAGGGGTGCCAGGCATGTTCCTATCAAGAGCACCGTAGGTGTTTGTTCAACACTGGTCTATTTTATCCCAAGGCGTTGGCCCCAAACAAGTTTAGCGAGCAGCACCAACAACTCAGTCAGGGGTTTTGTTCTAGATGAAACGTTTTCAAAGGAAAAATGCGATGATCCTATGTGGGAAAGAGACCGGGAGGACCAAGAGGAGTCTGACTAAATGATGTTTCAACATTGCGCCAACAATGGCTTGGCCTCTTTTGAGAGCCTCGGTTTGCCTTGAACCTGAATATCCAAATTTGCTTCAGAGATCTGTTGGAGTTTGGTCCAGTTCTTTTGTACATACCAAGTGTGAAGATTGGGCTCTTTCCAGGATGAAATTGGTGTGGTGCCCAATCCCCTGAATGGACTCCTTTAGAATTGGAATTATCTTAATCCCCTGGATGGAATCCGAAAAATATTTCTTGGATGCAATTCTATTAGGCTCTTTCCAGGATGAGTTGCACGAAAGATGGAGCCTTGACCTCCAGATCCCCATCTTTCCATCTTGGATTCTTGCCATCTTTCCAGGATGACCCCGGAGATCCAAGATGGCTCTTTCCAGGATGACCTAGATGGAAAGAGCACCCCGGATTTGGTGGAGTTTCAGGATCTCTGTTTTCCGAAAAGTTTGGTTGGATGGAATTCGAAAAACAGAGAGGATGACAATGATCTTTTCCATCTCTCCGGGATGGATCTGTTTTCAGGATCTCTGTTTTCCGGGGTCTCTCTTTTCCCAGATGGAATTTGGGTATGGGTAAAAATTGAACCGCCAGGGGACCACAGGTTCTGGTCCATGTTTCCACTTGCCAGGGTTCTATTTGGGGTACCTATTTTTGACCCCACAGCCATTTGGTTCCACCCTGGAGATTTCGGCGCTAGGAGATGCGCTCCAAGCGCCGGGATGCTTGGGAGCAACGCCGCCCGGCGACTCGGCGAGGCGCGATATGCCGGCACTTCCCGGAGGCAATTCGGCCTGCTTGGCGGTTCCTTAGGCTTTTAGGTGTTTAGGTTTTTAGGTGTTTAGGTTTTTAGTTGGTTTTGTGGCTGGGTTTCCATTTAACCCACTAAAGTTTACTTTTAGCAGTGGGGGATCTGAGGACTGCCTGGTTCGTAACCCCAGAACGATTGGTGAACAATTGGTCCATACTTGAGGTCTTCCGGGCCCGCGCCCGAATACAGGTTGATTGTGGCCTCGGTTCCAACCCAAACCTTTTCCGTGGACCCTGGCCTGTACGATCTCTCTGATTTTGGGATATCTTCTTGTGATGGGCGGCACCACGTTACTAAAACCGGGCCCCTGGTGATCTGAGAATCATGGCTGCCCGTCCCGGTCAGCAAAGGGAATTCTTAGTCAAAGCTGTGCTGGAGTTGTCCTACCTGGGCTGTGCTGATCAATTTGGGGGGAGTGGCATCGTTCACAATCAGTCTGAAATCATCGCTCAGGTAGGGATCCAAAATAATTTAAAGCAATTCTAGTGTCAAACTGAGCTTTAAACTGCTTTTAAGGGGTAGTTCTTTTTGTTACCCTTGAGCCAGCGGCGGACCCCGAGATTCGGACGCCGGACGGTTCATCCATCAGGCGTGGTGCGCGCCACGGTGTCCGAGCACCTGGATGGCCTGCCCTTCTCCTTTGGCGCCAAGAGCTTTCGGCAGGCCGAAGCCCGGTGGTGAACACGGGGTGATGTACGTACCGGTAAAAAAAAGAACAAGTGTTTTCGCCGCAGCAAGCAGTTGGACATCTACTCGCATGTGGAAGTCGTTGCGATGGATTTTTTTTGGCCGCATGTTCTTCGTGCAGATTGGCGCACGAAATGCATCCGCTAGGTTCGTTGCAACTCGGTGTGCCAGTGGCGTTGGGTTCAGCATGTTTTCAAGAGACAGTTGCTGCCGTGATATTAAGTTCATTTCGGTAGAGAAATGCATGCTGAACGTGGCTCCCTGAGATGGTTTCATCGATCAAGTTGGTCTTTTCGGTGGGCTGAGCGAATTGGCACGACAAGGAAAACACCTTCCCTCAACAGCACCTTGCAGCAGCAGCCGCGCCCTGCAACAGCACCCTGGGTAACTCTTTTTGCAGTAGCACCCTGCAACAGCACTATGGCTTAGGTGGGTTGCGGCTGCACGTTTTCTTTCTTTTTGGACTCGTTTTAGACTCGTTTTTTGGAGTTGTTTTTTGTAGGGAAAACTTGCCATGTCCACCATTTTCAGCTCTTTAGCTGCTAATACGTGCCTTGTAACATGCCTGAGATATATTCAGCTAGAGTGTCAGAAAAGTTACCACAGAAACAATTATATCAAGGCGCATTGGTGAAGGCAAGGCGACTCTTACCCATACCCGCCTAATCATTACCCCACCAGGATTATCTGTTTGCGTCACGCACGCGCGCACAGCTCGCCAGCAGCGGGTCTCCTCGCTCAGGCCGCCGGAACCACAGAATGCTGTGGGCTGAGAGTGGGGCCAACGTAGCCTGGCTCAAGAAACATAAATGTCCAACTTGGTGCGTTGCACCGACCCAGCGTCTTTGGCACACATGCTCTTATTCCAGAATTTGATCCAAAGCACCTCTTGCGCAAAGTTTAAAACCAGTCCTGTGCTATTTGTGGAAATGGCCTTGAAGACTGCAGTGGAGAAGGCGAACGTGATCTCGGAGATCCCTTTGAGCAAGTCCGGCGCCGACATGTGACGGCAATTTGCCCAAAAATGGGGTTAAGCAGCTGGAGTTCACCAACTTCGTCAAGTTGCTGACGTGCGCCAGCTCCGAGTCTCCGAGATGCGCGACAGGCCTAGCGTGAGCCTCTCCAGGCAGGAGCGATGGAGAAGACGGCTCTTGCGGGAGGGCATGGGATCTGGAATCTTGGAGAAGGTCTGGAGTTCTTCCGAAGATGGACAGCCTGTCGGCATCCATGGCGGTCGGTTCTCAGCATCTATATGGCATCCTGCAAGCCCACGCGAGTTTACAGGCCGCTGTTGGCTGTCCGGGGCATCCACACTGAAAGCAGGGGTCGCCTTAGTGTTGCTTATCAAATGGCAGAGTTGACCAGCGCAACGGCGTCCCAGGGCAACCGGAAGCCGCGACGCAGGAACGGCCAAGCCCTCGCGCAAAGCCGCGACGGAGCACTTTTCCGCCGCATTGCGCACCCGCGCTGCGAAGAACCCTTGTCGCAAAGTGAATCTCCGATGCCCCTGAGGAGCGAGGAGTCAGTTGTGGATCAAGGGAACAAGTGAGAAATCAGTTCCCCGGAACAACTTGGTTTTTGAAAAGCAGGCACGCGTCATGAGAGCGCGTGGGCCTGGATGAGATAGACAAAAGACAGGCGTAGGGCTGAGAGACGTGCATTGGTAGTTGGCAACATGTCATGCTGCGTTGTCAGTCAAGCAGTTGAGGTGATTTGTGCAAGGACTCGACTCGCACCGTGGCAAGGCAGACATGACAGCGGGAGACAAGATAGAGCTCACTGCAGCGTTGCGCCATCTTATCAGGCCTGGTGTGCCTGTGGCTGTATTGGGTGTGGCTTGTTTGCTCTGTGCTGGCGACGCGGATTTCTACTATGTTTCGCGGAGGTGCGTTCGGTTGGATGCCTGCGCCGCCTGTGAGTGAGAGCGGCTACACTTTACCCATTCACCCGCGGCTTTGCGTGTGATTGGCATAATCACTATACATAGGGCTGCGTCGACGCACCGAGCCGCGTGCGCTGCACCGGGAGCGCGCGGCTTGACGCAAGCAGTATCAGCTTCGCAGCAACACCGTGTCTCCCGATGGCTGCTGTCGACATGTCCGGTACTGGCGTGGGCAAATTGGTGGCAGGAACTTGTGTGTGTGTGTGTGCGTGTCTTTGTGCGTGTTTTTTCGTGTGTGTGTGTGTGCGTGTGCCTGCGCGGATGCGTGCGCGTGCGCGTGAGCGCGCGTGCGCGCATGTTCCTGCGTTTGTGTGGGTGCGCGTGCGCCTGCGCGCGCGTGTGCGTGTGCGTGTGAGTGTGCGTGCGCGTGTGCGTCTGCATATGCGCGTGCGTGCGCTTGCGCGTGCGCGTGCAGGTGCGTGCGTGCGGGTTTGTGTGTGTGTGTCTGTGTGTCTGTGTGTCTGTGTGCGTGTGTGCGTGTGCGCGTGTGCGCGTGTGTGCGTGTGTGCGTGTGTGCGTGTGTGTGCGTGTGTGCATGTGTGGGTGTGTGCGTGTGTGAGTGTGCGGGTGTGTTCGTGTCTGCGTTTGTGAGTGCGTGCGTGCGTGCGTGTGTGCGTGTGTGTGCGTTTGTGTGTGTGTGTGAGTGTCCGTGTGTGTGTGTGTGTCCGTTTGTGTGTGTTTGTGTGTGTGTGTGTGGTTGCGCGCGTGCGTGCGTGCTTGCGTGCGTGCGTGCGTGTGCGTGTGCGTGTGCGTTGTGCGTGTGCGTGTGCGTGTGCGTGCGCGTGCGCGTGCGCGTGCGCGCGTGCGTGCGTGCGTGTGCGCGTGTGCGCGTGCGCGCGTGCGTGCGTGCGTGCGTGCGTGCGTGCGTGCGTGCGTGCGTGCGTGCGTGCGTGCGTGCGTGCGTGCGTGCGTGCGTGCGTGCGTGCGTGCGTGCGTGCGTGCGTGCGTGCGTGCGTGCGTGCGTGCGTGCGTGCGTGCGTGCGTGCGTGCGTGCGTGCGTGCGTGCGTGCGTGCGTGCGTGCGTGCGTGCGTGCGTGTGTGTCTGTGTCTGTGTGTGTGTGTCTGTGTGTGTGGGTCTGTGTGTGTGTTTGTGTTTGTGTGTGTGTGTGTGTCTGTGTGCGTGTGTGTGCGTGTGTGTGTGTGTGTTGCGTGTGTGCGTGTGTGCGTGTGTGCGTGTGTGCGTGGGTGCGTTTGTGTGTGTGTTGTGTGGGTATGTGTTTTGTTTTGGGTTTGTGTGTGCGTATATGTACGTTTGTTTTGTTTTGTTTTTTGTTTTTTTGCGTGCGTTGCGGTGCAACACAGCTTTACAGACGTGTTGCGCCAACATGGGCCAAATGTTCAGGCACGGGACGGCTTGATGCAGTCTTTCCGTTGCACGACGTCCTGTTGTAATCCAAGCATTGACAGGCAGCTGCCAACACTTTTGCAAGACCCTTTCAACCACCCCACGAAGATCCCGAGTCGCAAGAGCCTTAGTTGGCTTTGGTGTGATGTTACTTTGAAGAAGCTTCGGCGAGTCTTTTCCATCGGCGAAAGGGTTTTGCGGAGGCCTGAGATTTCTCTTGGCAGGCGAACCTTTTTGTCTACGAGCAGATATTGCGGGATATGAAGGCGGGCCCATGCTTACAAGTCCAGTCGCGCACTTAGGCAACACCCATGGAACATGCGGCGCGTTGTGTTGGAAGTGAATCATGAGTATCCAAGAGCGTCACTGGGATGTGGAAGGTTGGCCAATGTCCTACACGCAGTTTTGTTAGTTGTCAGCCTAAAGGCCAACACCTCCGGAGACCACAGACTGAGTTTGTAACCATCTCCAAGTGTTGGGACAATACTTGCAGATCGAAACCTGCAGTTAGCACAGGTGGTGCTGGTTGGCAAAAAACAATTTCTGTGATTTGCCAGTTGGAACTGATCACAACCGATTTAGGACTGTTTATGCGCTTAGCAAGGATAGCTCAACAAGGTTGACGAACTAGGGGTTGACTAATTAATGCGCAGTCCCATTAAGGCCAGTGCGCCGTGACCTTTCAGCAAGCGTATGTTCTCCGACAATGAGAGTCGAGAAAGAGGTGGGACGATCTTTCCCCTTTTCGAGTTCAAGGCAAACTTACGTGGACCGCAGCAACGTGCAATTTCTCACTAACATATTCACGATGGGGGTAGTTCCACCAGCCGAAATCGCGTACTCCGAGACGAGCCACCCGAATGTGACAATGTGAGCTGTTGCTTTCCTTGGCAAATATCATGGCCCAGCTGGGCCACAGGACTAAAGTTGCAAGCGACTGACACCTCCACACAAGGTCCTTCATGGCAGCCTAAGACGATTTCCTCGTGTGGATTTGTTTCAAAACTTGGGATGGGAACATGTTGGCTGTTGGTTTCCTTTCACAGCCGTTCCCTACAACGGACTTACTTCCGCTGAACGTTGGATGTGTGGCTAAATTAGGGACCCTTCAAAGGAATCAATAGAATGGTTCCCGTTTATAGTGGTCCAACAGCTGGCATGTTCAAAGGCAATCCCTCATCCTTCCTTGTATCATGCCTCCTAGATAAGTTTTCTCAATAGGGATGATAGGACATCGGTTTGGACATGTAACCCTCCATTCTGAGCAGCCCGGAGAAAGCAACTCCTACGGTCGAATCCCTCAAAAATGGCAAACCACGCAGCCGAAAACCCATGTCCGCGGGGGTGCACTTGTACTGCCTGTCCGGCCCCTTTGACAGGCGCAGCTTCTGGCCGTGGCCGGCAAGGCGCTGGAGTCGGTTTCGATTTTCAGCTTCGAGGTCCCCCAGTAGTGCCCTTTGACAGTTTCTTTTTTGGGGGAGGGTTCCCTTTACGAACATTGACTACAGAAAAACGGGTACCCTTATTCTACCCTCTCTACTGGAGGACTTAGGCTTCTAAGCTTGTTGCTTTACCGGCCATGGATGGCTCAAACTCACAGGGGATTGGCCACCGCCAGGGAAACCGTGAAGACGTTTTAGGAGTGCCTTTTTGTGAGCCAGGGGTTTTATTGTATTTTTGCCATAGAAATTCTGGAAGGTGTTCAGTGGATCACTCTACATAGAGACAAATCCAAATGCCCGAGTGTCTGCATGGCTGCGGGTTTTGAAATGCTTCTGGGATTGCAGTGAAAATGACCCCATGTTGGGCCTGGCTTCAAGGGGGTATGGTGGGCCTGAATATACCGGTATAGCTATTCGAGGATCCAGGATTGAAAATAACTACATATGTATATATGTAAAAATACATATTATGTTATTTGCAGGCCCCTAAAACGGTGGTGCTTTCCTTTCGGCGTCCTTATGGCCCCCGTCCGAAGCTGCAGGGCGCTCAGATCCTGGAGCTCTGCGGCGGTGTGGGGGTCTTGGGCCTCAGCCTGGCCAAAAGCCTCGACGCCACGCTGCTGAGCACCGTGGCTTGGATGCGATGAGTTGAGCAGATGGGAGCCGACTGCTTGACGTTTCAGCTGTCTAGCTCCCCCACTTTTACCGTTTCTTTTTTGGGGGAGGGTTCCCCTACGAAAATACACTACAGAAAAAAACAGTACCCTTCTTCTAACCTCTCTACTGGAGGACCTGCTTGACTTTTCAGTTGTTCAGCCACAAAATCCAGTGTCCGACCAAGTCGGATTGATGCCCCCCATCCAGTCACTATAGACGTACCCTTTTGTTGAGGTGGTTTTGAAGAGAACGACACAAAGCCAAGAAAATCGCAGGTGTCAAAATAAAGGGACCCCCAACCAGTGGCAGCGGCAGCGTTCAATGCGGACGGACAAAATCCAGGCCAGGCACCAGTTGGGATGGATGAAGCCTAAGCACTGAGGTACCGCCAATCTACTGGTGCAGAATGTTGCCCATTCACAGTAGGGGTGCATGTTGGGGTCCGTTCACAATGGAATCCCAAAGCAAAAGAGACTTCAGCACCCTAATTCTGAGACAAACCCAGGTGACCCTGCTCGGGGTTGCTAAGGATGGTCATGGATAATAGGGATGTTGAGAAGGGTTCCTGTTAAGGGAACTCTGTCCATGAGCCACGCAAGGAATTCTTGACAACGGCACATACTGTGCGAGCGCTGTAAGAGAAATCGGTTGGTCGAGGCCCAGAGCGGGGCTGAATTTCTTAGCTCTTTGGAGCCAGGGGGCTCAATGTCTTAGCGGCTTTTCGGGTGAAGGACTCCCCGTGCCAAGAAACGCAAGCGGTTTCCAAAAGGCTCCAAAAGCTCCCGATTCTGAAATGCTTGGCGAACTGAGAGTGCTAGGGATTGAGGGGTGGGCGTGATATCACTACGCCAACTCAACCTGCTAGGATGTGCCGGGGGCCATTCCAAAAGACGGCTAAGAAATTAAGCCCCTGGATTTGTTAGCTGATGGTCAAACATGCTTTCTTCATCGCACAAGCTTGCTAAGGAATTGGACGAAGAATCCGGGGGGGGGGGGGCTCAGTTTCTTAGCGGCAAATGCAGTTGCAGCCTACTTGATTTGGCAATCTCAGCCCCTCAATTTCTTATACACATATTTCTTCTACAGTGCTTGCGCTCATATACATATGTGGCTGGAAGTTGAGGGTACATTTGACCTTGATTGAAATGGAAGCTAAAAGGGAAAGCAACGTGTTTCCTGCTTTAACGCACGCACACACCGCTATATTTACCCTCTACGTTGGGCCTTGAAGTAGAGACAATCATCATGATGATGTTCCATCTAGGTAAGGATCCAAATGAACTCATGGCCAGTTTAGGCTCATAAGTGTAGAATTGAGGCAGAATGAGTGGTTCACGGATGCATTAACGGAGGATGAGACATGAACATGTAGAATTTAGCCTTTGAATGATGCAGCTCCCTTTCATAAGAATGACGGACCAACGAACTGTAGATATGACCAAAGACAAGCTGCCCGTGCAACCACCGCTGCCTTGCCTCAGGATGTAAATCCAGAGAGCGGCGAGCTCTTCAAAGTGAATGCTGCGCGCCTGCTGCCCGCGGAGCCACTTGCAAGAAGATCGGTTTCGCCCCCAAATGGGTTTCAACCAGATCATCAGAGTGTCATTTTCGGGAGCCTTTAGTCACAGACTCTTCTCAAGACTGCGGCCCACCCTCACCGAGCCAACTGTTGTTTTTCTCCGGGGGCAGCAGCCAGCAAGATAATCCTTCTGGCCATTATTTGTGTTTGTGTTCTGTTTGTTTTGTGTTGTGTTGTTTTGTTTGTTTGTCTTTTGTTTTGCTTTGCTTTGCTTCCTTGCTTGCTTGCGTGCTCGCTCGCTTGCGTTCTGCTTGTTTTATCTTCTCCTTTTTTTCCGCATATCTTTCTTCTAAAGTTGGCCTTTTTGAGAGAACCTGCGGAAGCTGTTTCTTCAGCAGCATGCGAATTCGGGTCGAAGATCTTAATGGTGCCTGTCTATGAAACAAGCCTGCAGACATCCCGAGGATTCGTTGCGAAACTTGGTTCAAAGCGAGTTGCAGGGAAATGATCGTGGCTGGTAGACACGTTTGTTCCATGCTGGCACCTAAAGCAAACGGTAATTCACCATCCAGCTGTGGGAACCCGATCGAACCCGGTGGAGAGGGTCATCATTGAACACGTTTTACGAGTCTATTCAACTGGGTTGCCACAAGTTGAAAGATCAACTAGGAAGCTCGCCTTTTTACTCCCATGGAACTCCGAAACAAAGTCAGTCTGTAGAGGAGCCCTCTTTTGTGGAACTCTTGGCCAAATGCTGATTGATTTTGCAGAGAAGAACCCCCTGTCCCACTAGTAAGCTTCTGTGACAAGGGACCTTGAAGTCCCAGTACCTCCTACAAATGACCCCAGCCACAATCCAGAACCGGGTAGAGGAAGGATAATAAGGGCCAGAAGTAGGTGCTGCCTTTCAATTCCTTACATGGATTTGGATAGACCATTTTGATATCAGGCTTTGATTGTGACTGAGGTGAGGGTAATTAGTTTATTCCCATGTCGGTGCGTTTTGGTTTCAAGGTAGTTGTGCTTTAATCCAAAAGTGCATGCCCACCCATGGTTCTGGTTCAGAAACCCCACATTACCCCGAGTTGGGGCGATTTGTCCGAAGAGAAGGATCCGCGAGCAGAATGGAAAAGCGGGGTCCGGCTAGGGCGGTAACATCTAGAACAGACAACCGTCTTACATTAGGGTTGAGCATTCCGTACGTTCACGGGATCCAAGCTTGGCATCCCATAAACAGCACAAGTCACAAGCTGACCTGAGATTCTTTCCAGTTTGGTCAAATTTGGGCCACTCCCCCCCCCCCCCCCCCGGCAAAAAAAAGCAACAAAAACAAAACACGCCAGCAAATGGTGAGGGGGTTCCGGTGCTTGCCGTGTTTTTGTTGTTTTTGTTGATCCTTGAAGCGAGGGGTTTTGGCATTCCAAGTCACCAGACGTAGGTCCTACGCCTTTGCCGCGCTCAGCGCAGAGCGGGCCCTGTGTGCCCAGCAGGTGGCAGGGCTGAATGGGCGAGCCGCGGAGGCGCCTCTGGGGGGCGAGTTGAGTGGCCCGGAGCCTCTTTTTTTTTGCGGCGACCCTTTGGAGTGCCGTTTTTTGTAGGAGTTGTGGTTGTACCCGTTTTGAATGTTGTACTCTTTTTGGTTGGAGTCGTTTGTTTGGAGACATGCTTCGATTCGGAGCCTTGCACAGTCTGTTTTAATGGCAAACAGAATGTCAATTGCCTATTCGAGGGCTGGTGCGGGGGATGATGTCTAAAGGGGCATATAACGCACCCTGTTCCAAGGCGAAGAGACAAACTCAAATTGGGGGGACTTTCCAGATCGGTTTGACTGGGTCCTTGTTTTGTTTTCCTGCACGCGTTAATAAAAAACACACACACACTCACAGAGACCAAAGCGATACCCTCAAAATGGACACGCCCAGCAGTACATAAATAATTGAGACTGGATTGCGGGAATGAGGTGGAATGATGTTCGTTTCAAGTTTGTTCTCCCAAAGTTTCACAGGAGGTTTCTGGAACCCCTCCATCGCACAAAATGATGGGTTATCAGATCTCAATTAAAGCTAGCCATCCATGGCGAGACTTGGGTCATTGCAAATTGAAGGGTAATTAAGGACCTCCATGAACACTTTGGTGCATTTTGCCAAGGGATGTTGGGACTTCAACCACTTTCGCCAACTTTTCTTGGTTTTCCGCATTAAAACCACTAAACGTTGTTCACTTTGAGCAGGGGAGCAGAACGCAACCGAGAGGTCTTGAGCCATATAGAGCCGGCTGGGAATGTCTGCGTGTTTGGTGCTTGGTGTTGGCAAGGGCTAGGTCGAGCTTTCTGCTCATTTTGGGGGGTGGATAGCTTTCCAGAGATTGGAGATCCTCTCAGTTGTTCAGTGGCTCCCTTTTTCCCCTTTTTTTGGTGGCTGCCCCACTAAAATGGTCTTCCCAAAAAAGGGTTCCCTGTTTTTTTCCAGGGTCACTGAACAACTGAGTCCTTGGGGTTTGCTGAAAGCCATTTCAAGGCCGGAATCCGGCAAGTGCTATGGAACCCTGAAGGGGTGTCCCAGCTTCCTTGCAGTCACGGGACAGTGCCCTTGCTTGCATCTCCTCATGGATTTGTGGGAGTTTTGCCCGAGAACGCTAGTGGTTTCTAAAAACATATAGGTCCCTAGGCTGTGGAAAAGAAGACCGGAAACAGCCGTCCGTTGCCGTGGTTTGGTGAAATTGGTTCAATGTCCACGTCATGGACTTTCGCACAGATGACATGAGTACGGTATGTGTCAAAACAGGGGGACCCCCAAAACTCGGGTTTTTCGTCGGGTTTCCATTTGAAACAACCTGAACAACGTGGACTCGCTGGACTTGACACAGCCTGGCCAAAGCATCAGTCAGGTCGTAACGGCCCAGCCTTCATCTTCCGTATGCAAGTTGCAGTCTCCCAACAGCCCATGCGAACAAACAGCTCAGTCTCCTGTTACCCCCTTCAAACAAGTGTACCCGTTGTCCCTTTTTGCTTGGTGGGTTCCCCGCTAGAATGAGTGGCCCGAAAAAGCGCTCCCGGTTTGTACCAAACGGGTCGCTTGTTGCAATTGTTTGCAAAACAAGATATGAAGCTTACAAAACCTTATCAACCTTGCGCACTTTGTGAACCTTATAGGCCGTATAAACCTTGTAACTCCATTTAAACCTGGTACCATTGCTGACCCTACATGAATCCTGAACCATCACTGTTTCTCCTACACTGTTGACCCTGCCGTTTAATCCTGGTACCATAGGTGTCCTTCTTGGTTAGAAAATAGAAGGCCCTGGTTTAGCTGGCGGTTTTTGCTCATCTACCAGGGAAACCCTGCTATTTTCCACAAAGGACACCTATGTTTTTGGGGAGCTCAAGTTTTCCGTCTGTTGCTCTCAAGTTTCAGTGGGGGACCTACAAAGGACCCCTGGCAAATCGAATGCTATGGAGGTGCTGATCCTGGACCCTCCGCGCCGGGGCTTGGGGTGCCAGACCTGGCGCAGCGGCCGGCCCGCGGGGCAGCAGGAGGCGGAGGCCATCCGAAGCAGCGCCTCAGATCCGCCGAAGGTCGGATCGAAGGTCGCGAGTCCGAAGGTCGAGTCAGATGTGTCAGGTCCTCAAAATTCAAAACCCGGGTAGATGGTTGGTCAGGGATCCCAACCAAGTCCTAAAAACCCGGGTAGATGAAGGTTGGTCAGGGAAAATCCCAACCATAAAAATCGCGCCGTTGACATATTTTTGTTGTTGGGACACATGTTGCTGATTTTTGGCTGGTTGTGGTTTAGTGGTCGAAATCCGACCACTTCACTGCTAAGAATTAAATTTTGGCTCCCCTTCCAACGTCAACCAAGATGAGTCACGTCCTCTCCCGGGGAATTGGAGGGGAGTCAGGGCACAATCCCCTTGCCAAAAATGGCTGCGGATCTCCGCCTTGGCAATTCTTCACACGGTTCTGGGTCAACCATTTTTGTACCAGGCGTTGATGATGACTTAGATTCTGTTTCATGTTTGGTCCACCCCCAAATAGAAGTTGAGGAGACCCCAGAGCGAGGAGGTTGCTCGCAAATTTCCCGTTTTGTCAGGTCGGAGATGCCGAGCATGTGTTGCAACTGATAGAATTGGATTAAATCAGCCCAGCAGCTGCTGCTTTTTCAACTTTGTGGCCTTGAAAATGACTCCAGAAGGATCTCGAAACGACATGGCCATAGAATTATATGTTTGAAGGTTCAGTGAAGATCGACCAGAATCCCTGTGACAAAGGTGTGTTTCAAGCCTTCAAACTGCGCCAATGTGACTGGTCTTCCTTTACTGGTCTCTAAAAGTGCTTGCATTTTGAGAGCTGCTCAAAGTTACTTTGCAGTGGGACACCCCATTACACCACCGTTTAGAGCGTAAGTTTGGCCTTCCAATGATGGCTAGAAAAACCGTTTCGGAGCAAGTGTCACTTCGACTTGGCGGACTTTCGATTTGATCCTAGAAAAAGGGTGGCTGGCGACACAGGCATAGCGAATCATTTGTTTGGTTCACGAGCCAAAAACTCATGCCAGGGGTTCGTGTATGAAAGTGTTCGCCTTCTAAGGACCTTTCCTTTTGGTTTGCCTTTAAACAGTAGCACAAGGAGTTACAACCGGGCTAGATGCTCAGAGGTGGCAGAGCATGATTTGCAGAGAATGGAATCAAATGTCAACTTTAGTTCAGCAACTCACGATTGAAAAGGGGTGCTTCGCCTGCCAGTGACCAGTGAGTAAATATGGTCCGTGTCTAGTCTTTATGTTTCTAGCCATGATTGGATTGTTCTGATTTGTTGTGATGATCCGTCAATCCGCGTAGGTTGTCAAATTCGCGCATCCAGGAACTTGGCAAAAACCCGAGGTCTTGAGAACTTCTCCGGTTGTTCAGCTGCACCCAGCTTTCTCTTTGATTGCTGGGTTCCCCACTGGAAATGATCAACCCCAAAACGGGTCCTGTTTCCGGACGGATCGCTGAGTCCATATCCAAGGCACCGTACGCGTGGTGATCTATATGAGCTGCGGACCCCGCAGCTTCATGCAGGATCTTTGTATTTCGGCTTTGTACATGGGTTGATCAAAAGGTCTGGTAAACATAGGATGACCACTTTTTGTCTGGGGAAATCACTAAAAAGATTTGATATGAAACAAGTTACCCATGGTCATTTTGGGGCCAGGAATATTGATCAACCCCCCAATGGGCCCCCACAGTAGACAGAAACCACTTCGCACCAGTTGGGACTGGTGGGTCATTCCAGTATTAATAGGGTATCATCCAACCCAACTAGGGCACAGTAGGGTCCTTTTCGGGGCCATGTTCAGGGCATTGCACCTCATTGGGGTTGTGGGAATGAAGAGATGGTTTCCACTGTTGTGATGCATCCTTTAAACAGCCTTCCTGCGGTATCACAGAAGTGGGCAATGCTCACAATCCTGGGCAGCATTCATTTTTCTCTCACCATTCTAGCGGGAACATCGCAAAAGGGCATCCTATAAAGCAATGAAAGCAATGGTGAATATCTACTCTTCCATTAATGCAGTAGAAGGGATGCATTGCGAGCACTCACCAATTTTCTGCAGGGTTACCTTGGTATCCAAACACAAATGAAAGTCAGGGAACTGTCGAGTACGGTACCGCACGAGATCTCTCCGTGTCCGACGTTTTTGGTGTGGGCGCGAATTACACTAGTTACTTGTGGTGAGTGGAGCTGGCTATGGACCTTTCGCTAGAAAGCGGATTGGTTTAGGGGTTGGGCTGGTGGACCCCTTCAAAAAGTCAGTGGCAGCCAAAAGGACTTCCAGGGGAAACATAACAAAGACTCACAGGAGCCGCTTTGGCGCTTGTGGCTCTCCCCTATCTCGTGAGAGAGTGGAAGTCAGATCATCAAACTCTTTGTCATACAAAAGGGATGGTTACCCCATCATTATGCATTTTAGTAGAAACCACCGCAGTGATTCAGCCATATCAAGAATAGTCTAGGGTGTGTTTGCTCTTTTGCTGCGGGTTTGCTCTTTTGCTGCGGCTTGAATCGCAAACGCTCTGAATTCAGCTTTTAGGGGGGACATTGACGACGACGATGCCATGTACAAGCAGTTTCGACGATTGCACGCATGACAGGTCGGTCCTAGTGCCAATTGACATGAATTCCATGGGGTTTCCGCAGCGATTGACCCAGCTCGGCATCCCCTATCTAACGAGCTCACATCCTAACGGGCTCACCTGGGGGAGAACGAGCTCACGAATGAGGCCCCTTGACTTGGGGGTTTTCTGAGTTCAGGATTTAAAATTTCAGGTCGGATCTAAAGAGGCCTTCGCAAAGACCAGTGGGTTTCTCAGGAGCGGCCTCTACACTCCAACATGTGTAGGGTAAGCTACTTCACTCAGAGATGAAAATGACGTCCAAAGGCGGCTGAAACATCTCGGGGGGCTGGAGCGTGACGTTTTGAACCATGTTGCAAAGAAAGATGGCCGCTGCTACTCGCGCTCCAAGCGCAAGAGGACCAATCTCCCCAATCCCTCAAGAAACCAGGGCTGTGCTTTTGCCAGAATGAACCCATGGGTCCCCTTAAAGGAAACCACTAGTTGGATGGTGTATAGAGTCACTCCCTCATTCCCTGCTGAGCACCAGCAAATGGTCTCCTTTTTCTCCAGAAACGTTCAGTGTTTGCAGGGAGTCCTATCTACTGGCACCTAGAGAGTCATGCGAGGACGCCGAGCGTCTCACATCTCCGGGCGCTACACCGGCGTTCCGCCTCACCTGGCTTAGGCTCTACGACATGTGGCTTTGGCCCAATTAATTTTGCGCACCCACTATGAATGTCTAGGTCCCCCAGCTAGGTGCCCTGTTACCGTTTCTTTCTTGGGGGAGGGGTCCCCTACTAAAATAGACAACTTAAAAAAATCGGGTACCTTTATTCTAACCTCTCTGTTGGAGGGCCTAGATGATGAAGGTACTCGTTGGATTCCTTACTTTCTTTTTGTGATAGCAACTTCACTTTGGCTTCAAGGCAGCTCCCGGCAGCTTCCCTAAGCAAAGAGGGCCTTACAACCACGACCTGTGACTGACTTGGTGTGAGCGATCGGAGCCAGGAGAGAGGTCGGCTTTTGACCATTTTCTTTGAGGGAAACAGGGACTCGCCCAAGGGGGGTTTCTCATAAGCTTTGGACCGGGATCGAAAGAGAACACAGGGCCAGGTGGTAGCGCGAACTCAGAAAGTTCTCAGGACTGGACCACCTACTTTCTTTCAATCCGCCGGGGATAGCTGTTGTCCGCTGTGTCCAAACAACGGGGATTCAGTGCAGCAAGCCACGGATGCCGCTGAGCTGGGGTATCGACGCTTTTGTAGTTCCGGGACCGGGATGTCACGCACGCACTAATTTCCCCGTGCCCTTTCTGGAAATTGTTTGTGGTTGATATGAAACTGCGTCAAGGTCCTGTTGGCGCCTTCCAAAGGGCCATTGTTTGTTGCATGTTGACATGGACTCAGGTGGTATACGGTATATGTCTACATTGTACATGCAATTGTACAAGCATCCATTCATGCAATGGGTGTTCTTGAAGCGGGGAAAGGAACACCCATCGCGAAAGGCCTGCGGTTGGGCCGTAGGGCTACACACATCGGGATCCAGCGAACGCGAAAGGAGGCATGAGGGACCGCGAAAGGACGGCGGAAGGCTATTTGCGATTGGGATATTTCCAGACACCTGTATGTTTGACACTCCCCACATGTGCATGTTGTACGCATAATTTGTATACTTCTTCAAAGTTGTGTCTATGTGTGTGTGTGTGTGTGCATGTGGGCATCAGTATTTATAGAATAGTATCAGTAGACATGTGTGATTGACTGGCCGTGTTGATTCACAAGAGGCGTGAGAAGCTCAGAAAGGGAGGGGCCGGAAGCCAGTTTTGAGTATTGAGACTGCACAAAAATCGAATGGAGCAATGCAAGTGCACATCATCCAACCCAGAGGTCTGGAAATCACAGATCAAGGGTGATGCCTTCGAACCATCACACTCCTTTGTTTCATGATGTCTCACGCAAAAGGACGTTCCGGAATAGACACGTGACGTGCTCGAGCACTACTACCAATTTCACTTGGCAATTGCCATTAAGGACGTCTAGGCACAGCCTGACATGTTTACCAAGCTACGCTCTTCCCGGGTACCTGACTTGTCCAACAGAATGCTGAGAGTTCGAGCGGGTTGGAAAACCTTTTCTTTGGTGGCTGGAGCCAGAATGAAAGATGGACGCCGCAGACTCCCACCACTAGGCCGTGACCTCTAGAGAATGCTTTGAAACGCTCGGGGTTTTGCGCCAAGAAAGCTGGAACCCAGAAGTTTCGCACGCGGAGCATCAGGTTTCCTTTCACCGAGCATATCGAGACCCTGGGTATATTTGTGCGAGACGAGGCCGGAGCCGCAAAATTAGGTCGCAGAACCAATTATGTCTACAAATTGTGTTTTCGTGCTTTTTGTTTCTTTTTTTTCCGCAGTGTAGACATATTCTGAACAGAAGGATGCCTGGTCGCAGGATGGGCAGAATGTCGCCGCGAAAGAAGCACACAGCGTGTGCATGTTTGTGGACATGTTGTTCAACTCAGACTTACTATTTAATAAGTATATCTAAACCGACAAGCACTTATATACCTTTGATGGACAACACTTCGAGTACTTCACGGTTTTAGAACTTGGGATGGTAACACGTTCAACCTGATCTGCCAATGTCGGATTCATGTAATTTCCCAGTGCCAATCATGCGATGCTAAGACGGCTATTTCTCTGCATAGTCCTCACCTGTCTACCACGCACACTCATGCCTGATCAGAGGCAGTTGGGGCACGGCGGCATGTTGGCATGCTGAATCTGCATTGAAGCCGTGCAATTTGCTTGAGCGTACAGATTCGAGTAGTTGACATATTACTGATTTGTGGTTGTGGGTACTTTAAGGAGACAACAATATCCAGTTTTCCCAGAGAGATGAAAGTGATTGCAAGTAGAAGACAAAAAGTCGCGGCGCCTGTAACAGGCCGGGTGCGCAGCTTCCATGGAAATACTGGGTTCAGTGGATAAACATGTTTTCCCATGGCAGTGTTCCAAGAGCTCAAGTTCTTTGTGTGGCTCACCTCGAAGCCATGTTTTCAACCAGCTACCTTCGGCCAGGCAGCTGAGCTCGCCAAGTTTCATAGCAAACCCTAACTTGTTTGGCAGAGCCTTGCCGCCTGCCTGGCTTGGAAAGCAGATTGCGCACGGAGCCCGTAGAGCTGACAGGGGGGGCGTTATTTGAAATGTTTGAGATAACCTGCACTTGAAGCCGCCCGGAGGCATGTACGTGGCCAAAGAAAAACAACAACATGCAGTGTAAGAGTCGAGCGGAAACCTGTCAAAGTTGGTCTAGTTTCTGAGGACATGCAAAATCAAGGATTTCCCTTGCGTAGAAACTCTAAAGCGGGAGGTCTGGTTGCCAAGACCGAAGCTCAGCCAACATTATTGGGCCTGGAAATAGGGAATTGAAGCTCAGAAATATGATGCAAGAGTTCTTCATCAAAAAGGAAACACCTGCTGGAAAGCTGCAGCTTTAAGGTCATGTCCAAAAAGCCAAGAATGTGGGTGTAGTCATTGTCGGTGGAAGAGAGAGCGAGAGAGAGAGAGAGAGGAAGAGAGAGAAAGAGAGAGAGAGAGAGAGGAAGAGAGAGAAAGAGAGAGAGAGAGAGAGAGACAGAGAGAGAAAAGAGAGAGAGAGAGAGAGAGAGCGAGAGAGAGATAGAAAAGAGAGAGAGAGAGAGAGAGAGAGAGGGAGGGAGGGAGGGAGGGAGGAAGGGAGGGGGGGCTTGGGCCGCACTGCTGTGATTTCTTACCGCATGTTCGGGGTGGTTATGACGAACCGCACCGAGTTGGCTTCCCCACCGACAAGTTTGTCTTTCTTCTCCAACTCACCATGTTTCAGTTGTTTTAGTCGTTCAGCACTTGAATCGACTAGGTCCCCCAGTGCCTTTTTACCGTTCCTTTTTTGGGGGAGGGTTCCCCTAAGATAAACTACAGAAAAAAATCGGGCACCCTTCTATCCTCACTGGAGGGCCTAGTCGAAGCTTCTCAGGGCTCGCCAGGTGTGCTCGGCCTCGGCCACCGGAACGGAGATGACCTGGAAGCCATGGGAGGAGACACTCGGAATGGAGAAAAACCCAGGTGCGAACCCTTCCAAGGGTAACAAACTTGGTTTCCCTTTGGCCCTACCATTTAGTTGAAACCTACGTTCTAAGCTGGGTTTTCTCTGGCCCTATCATGGTTGTGGTGGTGTTCAAGATCACTTCCGGAGGGAACTGTCATGTACAATCCAGATTTTGCGTAGTGATTTTGAGGGTGACGTTTTAATGTGGCCCGCAGCTACTGCTTTGCGGGGCTACTAAACTCAAGGCGAAGAAACAGACGAGGTTCTGTTCTCAGGTGCGTTGGGAGTAGTCAGTAGTGTCATTTTTCATTTGTCCAGCCTCAACACCCCTAGAAGAAGCAAACCCAAACCAATGCCACAGCAAGCCATCAGCAAGATACCTTCATCCTGACTGCCCTCATATAGAGGGAGTTCCTTGATTTGGATTGTGGAAGGTTGCCTGGTTTCGCGCTTGGTCCAGCTAGGGATAAGTCGAATTCCCCCGGGTTTCGGCGACACGGAGCTGCCAAGGATGAGCTTTCTTCAAGAGGCTCCGGCTGAACGACTAGCCCCTTAGCAGCGAGGCATTGGGCGGCGGCTGCCATTCAAACCTTGTGGGTGTCCTTCATGCTTCCGGGCAACCAGCAAACCACAAATCACGGGGTGGGGGAGAATGCTAAGTCTGGCCAAAGCAAAAAATAGGAGATGTTAGGAAGATGTGTCCATACACGTTTCCCTCTACGTGTGGGTGCTTCCTTTCAAAATAGAGGACCCACACCCATAGCTGCCTGGTTTGCCTTGGTGGCCACCTTTTTTTCCTTTAAGCACCATCCAGAAAGGGGTTCCGCTTTTTGGACAGTTGCCGGATCCTTCAGGCTTCGTTGCTGAGCTTCGAGATGTCCAGGCTTTGAACCGTTTTCAAGTTGTGTCGTGCGGAAGGCCTATGGCAATGATGCAAAGTAGATCTGTAGATCTTGTAGCGAACTGGTTGTGCGAAGCTTTGGGAGATAGGGTGCTTGAAAGTGCAACCCAAAGGAGAAACGTGTCCAAGTCCCACTTCTTGGGCAGATCTCTGCCCCGAATCTGAGAGTGCCATTGGGCTGGAACCAGTGTTTGTTTTTGAGTTTGCCTCAGCCGTTTAGCGTGAAATTCCTCATTGTGGATTCTCATTTTGGTGTTTTTGCACAGACAAAGCGAGCAAGCAAGTGAGTGAGCGACTGGTGATTCCAAAGAAAAAGTCACCTCGATCCCGTTAAATTAAAATAACAAAAAAAACATAAAAAAAAAAAAAAAAAAAACAACAAAAAACGTCTGGGGGGGGTCCTGGTTTGTGTTTCTCCAGTGCCTGTCTTTTTGGAATCCCATATTTTGAAATCACCCTGACGGTCCAAGTGTTTTGTTTTTGGAAATCACGCCTGGGGGCTCCCGGTGTCTGTTTTTTGAAATCACGCCATATCACGGGGGGTGCCGATGTTTTTTTGGGGGGGAACTCACGCGTGTCCCGGTGTTAGCTTTTGTTGCATTCATGCCTGTGGGCCGGGGTGTGTTTTCTTTGAATTCACGCCTTGGGGCTCCGCTTTTTTGGTTGAGTTCACGCCTGTGGGCCCGGGTGTTTTTCGATTTTGAAAATCACGCCAGGGGGTCCTAGTGTTTTCTTTTTTTACATGATGCCTGGGCGTGATTTCAAAAAAAACAAACACAGGAGCCCCCAAGCGTGACTTCAAAAAGGACACCGCGACCCTGGACCCCACAGGCGGGAGCCCCCAGGCGCGATTTCCAAATATGTGATTCCAGAAACAAAAACACCGGAGCCGCTACTTCAAAAGAAAAAGCACCCGGGCCCACAGGCGTGAACTCAAAAAAAAGCGGAGCCCCAAGGCGTGAATTCAAAAGAAAAAAGCCCCCGGCCCACGGGCATGAATGCAACAAAAACAAGCACCGGGACCCCCGGAAGTGATTTCCCAAAAACCAGACACCGGAACCCCCCAGGCGTGATTTCAAGAGAAAAGACACCCGGACCCCCTGGGCGTGATTTCAATCAAAAACACCGGGACCCCCAAAGAAATGATGGCTTTGGGGCTTTGCATTAAGGGAACTATGCACCTTTTTGTTTACAGGGTCAGCTTGTTTTGTTGGTGCACACTCCCCCGTTATTTGCGTTGAGGACGCTTTACCAACTGCTCGAACAAGGGACCGACCCCGTGGTCATTTTTGCCTGGACGCTGGACACATGGAAGTGGGTGGACCCCCATCCCCCTTCTCCGTTCAGGCAATGGAGATCATATGGCTGTGGCTCAAAAAGCCGGTACTACAATGGAACCCTGGTAAGTGAAAACATGGACCAAAACCTGCGTAACCCCTCCTGTTTAATTTTGAGCCACACACATATTAACATGAGCCATTGACAGCACGATTGGTAGTTTTCCGTTGAAGAGAAAAGAATCTGTCAGGAAGACCACCACTCACCAGCCTGTGTCTATTGTCTATGTTCTTTGCTGTCCGAGGAGCGGGGGCGCTACCAGTGCCAGTTCCTGGTCGGCATCGAAGACCCCGAGTTTCAGGCCAGTCGGCATTTCGAGATGACAAAGGGTGTTGTCTCATATGACCTACATAATGGATATGGTCTAAATCATATTTCTTTCCTTGATTTGGCGGAAAGCACTGCCATTGGCGGCCATCGTCTTTTAACGATTGCCACACCAGAACCTGTGACACTGGGATTTCCCAACCCCCCCCAATCCATTCAAGGAACAAAGAACATTGGCCGCCATGGCGGTGGCAACTGACCCATTCTGTCATGCCATCGTTAGAGGGGTTCCGCTTTATCACAGAAAGTGCGCCACCCCGCCCTCCCAAACCCGTGGTGTCGGTCCTTTGATGCAGAAAAGGGCCCAGGGAACGCTCATATGTGCGTATATGTATACATACATATACGACATGTTTGTTCATATTTATACATAGCCATGCGATATACATCAGAGTCATACAGTCCGCCTATTCGAGCCACGCTTAATGGTGAACCAAGCAATCACCAGGTGCTTCTAACTAATGAACTATGGCTAACTCTTGTTTTTTGGAGTTTAAGCCAATAAAACTCTGGGTGGTGTGTTGTGTGTGACCGTATGAATGTGTATATACACATCATATATATATATATATACACATGTAAATATTCATGTATGTGTATATACATATGTTTATAAAGAAATGATCAACCGTGGCTGCATTTGATCCCAGGTGGTGGGCCGAATCCTCGGCCGCGGAGGCGCCAACATGAAGCGTATCGCAGGCGGGAGGGTCTTGGAGGGCGAGGCTGGGTTCACATTGCGCGTGTTTGTGCTTTTGTGTTTGTGTATGCACGTGTGTGTGTGTGTACCATTTCTCCGCTTGCATAGAATGTTTGGAGCATGCTGTATGCTGATTGTGGGCGAAGTTGAGGCGCACAGGACCATCAATCAATAGATTGACCAATAAAGGACCAAATGTAAACAAATATCTCCAGCTGGAAAAACATATGTCGGGCTTCCTCAAGGAAGCACTCAGCAAGGAGCTTTGCAGAGGTGCTATCAGCCCTACTGTGATTCACAGGCCTTTTTGTTTGGGGGGGGGGAACTTGACAACCGCAAGATAAGTAAAGTTAGGCTAAAAAGCGGGATATGATTTGATGCCGGCTGGTCCGGTCAGGCCAAGTGATCAAAGGTTGGTGAATCAAAGCCCACCTTTTGACCTCTTGGCTTCCCACAGTTTATCTGTTAAGTTAAGGTCCGGGTCTCAAAAGATAAAGCGTTTATTTCCACAGACTTCGGCATCTGGCTGGCACGGCTCAACGGGATTGCATTGCACACTTACCCCTCCCGCTCCCACAACCCAATCGCCCCGTTGGGGAGAATCCCGTTACCCGCAAGCCGCATTAGGACCTTCGAAACGTGCGCCTCTGAGACTATGCAAAAATCGCCCGAACGATAGAAAGTATGTTTCCTTGAAACAGCGCACCGGCTGTCTGGCTGTTTCTGGTCTAGTTCAGGTTTGGAATTGTTTCTGCAGGTTGTCAAAGTTGGGAACTTGTCTCTGTGTTTGCGTGTGTTCTACCACTTCCTTGAGATTGAAATCATGCCAGAATCGGGCTTGTGTGGTATTTCCTGGAAAGCAGCAGCACGGCCCGTGCCTTTGGCCAGGGTGGGCACGATGTTTTGTCAAGCGCAGTCGGGGCTCTTGGGTTGACCACAAAGCTAGATGGACTTGGGATGCATTGTGTGTTACAGGTGACTCAACATGAAAGAA